TGTGGGAGGGAGAGGAAAACGGCGGGGGGGCGCCAGGGGTCGTGTCCAGCGTGTGCGCAGCATTTTCAGCTCACTAGCCCTCCTTGCTTGACCGGGCCCCATGAATATTGGGGTGCTTGAAAGGCTTATGATGGGGCTTTCTCGTTTAGGGCCCATCACTCCCAGATCTCGTTTGATGTGGATCAAAGAATCCGACGGTGTCGAGCGGGGAGAGAGCAGGGTCAGGGGCTAGAAAGGAAGAGGAAGAACCCTGCCGGAATATTTTCCAAGATTTGCATTCGAAAATCAGGGCCCAAGGGAGCAGAGTGCTTTGTGCATGCCACTGGAAGTCCACGCAGGCACTGTGTGGTAGCAGTTTGTCAGGCGTTGTGTCGCAGCCATAAGGACTAGGAACTTGCCGGATGTCATGTGTTGCAAAAGAAGGCATCAGAGCAGGGATTCCCAGGAAACTGAGCCAGAGAGTCGCACCACACGTGCAGTTGTGCCTGTCACGCCGCGAATGGAAGAGAGCAACCTCCTCTCTGTCCCGGCCGAGTGGTTCTCCTTCGCCTCCCCTGAGCGGCAGAAGCAGCAGTGCCAAGTCATCCACAGCTGAGAGGCAGATGTATTTTGAGTCAATGGAAAATGGATTATGAGCCAGCGAGTTTTTCCCTGGTGTCCATTCAGATACGTTTTCCAGAGCTGTGCCAAAGCCGCCTGCCAGAGAGAGCGCAGTGGCCGAGGATTGGGCTACCAGGAAATGGCGTTGCTTTCCTGGCCTGCTGCCACCATGGGAGAGGGGGCGAGCCGAGGAAAGAGGGGCGAGGCTCGCAAAGCTGGGCTCCCCAGGACTGTCAAGGCAGACCCCCTTGAGGTGAAGCTGGGGAGAATGTGGCCCCTGCGGAGGAGCCCTTTGCTGCTTTTGACCCCAAAATCCAGAAGCCTTATCTGGGGATGCACTGGAGGCTTGCCTGAAAAAATGGCCTCAGGCAGGGTGTGGGAGCATCGAGCCCGGGAACCTGGCTTGGCACTGTTGAGGTCCCAGCCCAGCCTGGGGCTCCCCCAGAGCGCCTGTGCCCCTTTCCCAAAGCCTTTGCCAATCCTTGGGTACCTTCCTTGCTTTGGGGCAGCTTTTCTCCCGTTCTCCGAAGGTTGAAAGGCCGTCACCCCCGGAAGTGCTGGTCATGGGACTCCCCTTTGCTGTGCTCATTGCGTTGGAGCCAGATGTTTGCTGGAGCAGCTGTGTGGAAGGAGGGGAACCCTCCTGCCCAATTGGTCTGGGGGCCTCGCACAGGCGGTCCTTCCTCCCACAGGAGGCTGGTCCTGGATCCCATGCAGAGGCAGTGTGACATAGTGGTTCATAGAATCCTAGAATAGGAGAGTTGGAAGGGGCCATGAAGGCCATCGAGTCCAGCCCCCTGCTATTGCAGGACACCACGTTACACCTTCCCACTCAGGTGGCTGTCCAGTTTCTTCTTGAACGTCTCCAAGGTGGGAGAGCCACCACCTCTCCAGGCAGCTGGTTCCACTGCCATATTGCTCTGACAGTGAGGAAGCTTTTCCTGATGTCCAGCCCGAATCTGGGTTGTTGCAACTTGAATTGATTGTTCCGTGTTCTACGCTCTGGCATCAGCAAGAAGAGATCTTGACCTTCCTCTTTGTGACAGCCTTTGAGGGACTTCTAGAGGGATCTCATGTCCCCCCTCAGTCTCCTCTTCCCAAGGCTGAACATGCCCAGTTCTCTCGGCCTCTCCTCACAGGGCAGTGTTTCCAAACCCTGGGTCATCTTTGTTGCCCTCTGCTGGACCCTTTCTAAGCTGCTAAGCATGTTGGACTGGTATTGGGGAGTCCCAGGTTCTAGGCCAGGCCACCCACCTCTCCTCTCCAGCGGCTCCGGCAGGCTTTGCCTCCCTCCCAGATGCCTTTCCGGTGCCCTGGCAAGCCGAATTGTGCACATTGGCCCAGGCGGCATCGCTGTCTCCTCCATCTGGGACGGGGGCAATCGCCCCTTGGCTCTTGCAGAAAGCCAGCTGTGATGACAGCAACACCGAGGCTTGTGAGTGTTCAGCAGACCTGGCTGAGACTGTCTCAATGCATTCTCTGCCAGGCCTCTTAGCCCTCAACTTCCTTTCCGCTTGCTCTTTGGAGCATGCCCTAAATGCTGAAGGTGTCCCATCTAGCAGCCCTGAGCACCAAGGCGGTGTGGTAGTCATGCCATGGGACCACGACTCCAGGGGTCCGGCTTCTAGTGCCGCTTTGTCAAGAAAGCTCCCTGGCTTTGGGCCAGTCACGGACTCTCAGCTAAGCCTACCTCTTAGGCTGTTGTGAAGATAAAATGGAGTGGTGCAGGGAGCATTCAAGCCACTTTGGGTTTCTTGGAAGAGGAAGACATTTAAGTACCAATGTAGCCGACAGCACCAGCCATTAAGAGAATGGTGGCCTCTTTGAGGTCACCGGTTGAGTTCACTGCAGAGGCAGAATTCGAACTGGCACCTCGGTTCGTGCTCCCAGCTGCCCAGGTCCTGCACCTCAACCCCACCTGGGCTGGCCCCGTAGCGTTGGAGCCTCGGCTTTGGGTCCCGTGTGCTGCCTCCGCACGTCTCTCTTCTCCTTGCCCGCACCTCCCCTGGCAAGGAAGCCAGCACCCTTGCCAAGGCGACTGAGTCACACCGGTGTTGTGCAATCCAGAGGCAGCGGGCGCAAAGCGGAGGTGCGAGAGGCTGCAGTGGGACACGCTCCCTTCACGGAGAAAGCCCTGCTCTCCTCTGAGCAGGAAGGTGAGAAAGGCGGGGCCCCCTCCGACTCTGCGGTCGCGCACGAAGCTCGCAGGCGGGCAGCAGTCCCAGACTGGCTCCATCACGAGGGCGATGGGTGGGTTATTCTAACGGCGCAGAACGTCCCCAGAGCGCCCACCTTTCCTGGCCAAACAAGAGACAACCTTGAGGTGGCCTCCTTTTCTGTCCATAGCTGAAGCACTCAGCCAGGAATGGTGGGAGTTGTAGTCCAACACTCCAACCAGGCACCAGGTCGGAGAAGGATACTTTTGTTATGCTTTCATGTGTAATGATCTGGCTTCCTCGTTACTGTTCGACCTTCACTGCTGCAAGATGTGCTGATGGGAATCAGATCAGATGCCTTTAAGAGGGGCTTAGAACTGGGGGGTGTCAGGGATCAGGCTGGTGGGATCAAGGAAGCATGAGCTGGGAATTTGTGTCCAGGAACGGGCCGGATCAGAGCTCGCCGTCCGCTCCTGGGGGCCCCCCGGACTTTCTGCATCTCAGCAGGGGCATCTAGGATCCCAGGGATCGGTTCTGCAGCAGCTGCTGTCAGGCGAGCTTTGCTGATCTGCTGGAAATCAGCCAGAAATTTGCCAGGAGTTCCAGAGCTCCTGTGCAAGACAGATTGGTGGGGAGAAGACTGTGGGTTGGTCCTTCTTGCCTCGATGGACCTTCCATGTCCGGCAGGGGTGGGCCGCTGCATATCGACCACGGAGGAGCAAGGTCAGGTGGCTGCTGCACCCGCATCGCCGGCTGAGGGGCCGTCCAGGGGCATCTGGCCGGGAGTGTGAGAAAGGGAATGCTAGGGAAAACTAACCTTCCGCTACCTCGTTAAGCTCTTGGTAAGCCTTCCACAACTGTTCCACCTCCAGGCTGGATCCTGGCTTCTGGGATCCCCCAGCCAATGTGTCCCGTGGGGAGCTTGTCAGGAGTCTTTTTTTAATTATTTGTGTTCATGTTGATACCTCCCAATACCCAAAGTTCTTTCAGCAGCTTACAATTGTTTGCGAAAATGGATACAATAAAGTACCGCCGTGTTTCCCCCGCAGATGCCAGTAAACTGTGAACCTCTAAAACGATCTTATTCTGAGGTCCGGCACAGCCGGGCTGGGGAAGGCTGTGTTCGTTTTACAAGGACGCGGTGAGGTGGAAGCGCAGGGTGGTTTTGCATGTCTCTGTTTGCGTCTTCCCCTCCCTCTCTCTCATGCATACGCACACACAGACACACACTGATTTTGTCAAAGTTTATGTCTGACACCTGGCTTTGGAAATTTGGCCTTATATGGAGACGTGGATGAAAAGGACAGGGAGATGCTGCTGCAGAGCTGAGCTGTGTGAAATCTGTGGGAAAACATCTCCCCCTGCAGGGCCTGAGAATGCTTTCCTCTTATCGCCTGCTGGAGGGACGTGTGTGTGGAGCGGCCCCTCTCTGCTGGGGAGTTGTCATTTGGGAGGGTTGTCTATGGACATTGGCTCATGGTGGAGGACGCAGCTCTGAAGTGCAGGAACTTTGCTTCCTTCTGGCAAGCACGGTTTCTGCTTTGAGCAGTTGCCACAGGATGAAGCACGGGAGGAAGCGTCTTCTGAATTGAGCCACCCCTGCGGCTCGGTCTCCCTTCTTGAGGAAGTGGCTCTGTGGGGCCTCAGATGTGGGATCTTGCGCAGCCCTGCCTGGAAATGGACGAGAGTGTGCCTGAAGCCTGGCCGAGTGCCAAGCAGGTGGCCTGCCCTCCTGCTTCCATGTCCAAATTGGGCAACTTGCGGTCCTCCGGTTATTTTTGGATCGCAGCTCCCACCAGCCCTAGCCCTCATCACCACCCTTGACTCTGACGCTGAGGCTGCCAGGTGGCCTTTGCCACTTCCAAACTCCGCTAGCGTTCACAGCTGGGCCATTGTTTGCTGTCAGAAGTGGGACTGGTACAATTTGCAGTGGCCCAGCATTGCACCCTTGACAGAGCTTTTAAACTCTGGTTGCTCAGTTCCTGCGGGAGTGACGAGAAGAGCGTCTGCAGCGGATGCTCCCAGCCAACAGCAAGCGCCATTTTAGTTGCTGCTGGACTGGGCTGAGGAGTTTCTGCATGCAGGAATCTCCCCGTCTGCAGAGGCCCCGTGGGGGTAGGAGCGGTACTTCTGTAGGGACTAACCCCGGAAGGATGGCATGGGACATGTACCTGGGCGCAACTCCTTGACGGGAAGTGCTCAGCCTGCACAGCTTCCCACCTGCAAATGCTCTTCCCCTTCCAGGGATGTCTCCGTGCAGAATCATGAAGTGCAACTCCGAGTTCCTGGCGGCCACGTCAGGGCCTCACCCCCAGGCCGCTGAGGAGGCCCCCGAGTTCTGCACGGCCCTGCGCGCCTACGCCCACTGCACCCACCACACGGCGCGTGCCTGCCGAGGAGACCTGTTCTACCACTCGGCCGTGCACGGCATCGACGACCTCATGGCCCAGCACAACTGCTCCAAGGACGGGCCCACCGCGCCGCCCCGCCTGCGCCCGCCGCCCCGCGGGGACAGCCAGGAGCGCTCCGACAGCCCGGAGATCTGCCACTACGAGAAGAGCTTCCACAAGCACGCGCCTGCCCCCAACTACACCCACTGCGGGCTGTTCGGAGACCCCCACCTGAGGACTTTCTCGGACACTTTCCAGACGTGCATGGTCCAGGGGGCGTGGCCCCTCATAGACAATAACTACCTGAATGTGCAGGTGACCAACACACCTGTCGTGCCCGGTTCCATAGCGACTGCCACAAGCAAGGTAAGTGTGGTGCATGCCCGGGTGTTGCTTTGGAGGCCGCCCTTGCATTAGGGCGTCCTTCCCTCCATTTCTCATTCTGGGCAGAGGTGTGGATGATGAGCGCTGAAGTCCAGCCACATGTGCCAGGTGCAGAACTGTGGCCGCATGCAGTGGAAGACTCTTGGCAGAGCCATTGGGGGTTCCCTCACGAGGGGGTGCCTAGCAAGGATCGGTCAACTTGCCCCGCACTGTTGCCTCTCAGGACAAGGTGAGGAGGGCAGAGAAGATGGGGCAGGCCTAGGCTTAGGCTTCCCAAGAGGCCCTTCTCCCTACCTCCAGATGCAAGGAACACTAAACAGAAGACTAATTGGGAAATAGATGTGGTCAGATAGTTTCTTTCCTGTTCGAGTCACTTTCACCTCAGTTCATTCATCATTCTGTCCCACTAAAAATGTAAAATTGAACGCAACCAAAACGTATCTAAAGGCATGTGTCTGAATGTACTTTGGAACATTTTTTGAGCCCGGATGTACATTGTGAATTCTAAGTGCTAAGCCTGAAGGAGCGCTGTGCCTCGATCCATCCTGTGGACTGCCAAGTGTGGATCGGTTGGTTCAAATCTGAAATGTCAGTGAACAAATTCCTGAAGCTGCTGTGCCCGTGACCCCCTGCTTTCCTTCTGGAAAGGGTTCAAATCACATTAAAAAGAGTGCTATCCTAAAATCTGGGCAAATAGAACATGCTATAAAGATATCGGAAGCAAAATACAGTGATCTAATGTACTGGGGAATTGGCAAGAGACCTAGCAATTAATTATCACCAGAAACATGAAATACTGTTGTCATGGCCCTCACTTTGGCAATGAACCGCCTGCCTCTGCAGCATGGCAGGAACCACAATTATGTATTGAGCTCCTAACATGCCTCCTCCTGCTGAAAAACATTTGGGCTGCAACCTTATGCACCATTTCTAGGAAAGGACCTTATTAACTGTATGCCAATCCTTAGAACGTCCGTCTCCATGAAGCTGCACGCCGCCTCCAGCTGCCTCCCAGGATGCCCGGTACACACACACGTGCACACACACACATCCTGGTCACCGCAAATTTTGTAGCTTGCTCCAGGAGGGATTATTTCCACGTTATTATTTCTTGCAATGGGTTGGGTCCAGAGTTTGGTCAACTTAACTCCTATGGAGCTCAATAGGTTTAAACGAAGTTTGGTTAAACCTAGGTCTGCATTTAGCTAAACAAAATGTGACACCACTGGGGCAATTAGCGCTTGTCTTCCACTGCAGTCCCAATCCAGTCTGGAAGCCCAGGAGCTGCTGGTGCCACGGGAAGGCGTATTCCCGTTAGTGCCAATAGGGCTTTTCTTCCCAGCAGAATTAGCAGGTGCACAGGACGTAAGTCGGACTGGTGCCACAGCAGGGAGAAGGGAGTTGAAGCTGCCCTCGTCCAACCTGCAGGAAACAATTAGCCCCACCATTGATCGTGAGAGGGGCGTTCGTGTCGCATCAGAGAAATATGTCATCCGGATTTGTTGCAGGGCTGCATCCACGGGGGGCCCACACGTGAGGCAAGGGGGGCTCACTGTGCCAAGTGGGCTGTCACGGTTGTGGAACGGGCCTGGTGTGGCTCGTTCCATGGCGAAACCTTCCAAGTGGGAAGATTTTCCAGGGGTGGAACCTTTGCCACCCACGTGATAACCAGCGAAACAGGACTTACTCATGAATGCCTGGGGTGTTCTGCAGGTCTTTGAGGGACAGGCCCGTGGAGCAGAGGAGTGCCTTGTGGGCTGCCAGAAAGGCAACATAAGGCCAGGTGGAACTGGAGGTTCTTGGGCAGGCGCCAGATGCAGGCAGACGTGGGCTTGGGAACGTGTGCTCTCCTTCGTTTGGCATCCAGAGCAGTGTCAGGCCACAAGAATGAGTCATTCTCTTGATCTACCACAAAGCCCATGGCGGCATTGTTCTGGGAGACTGTGGGACATTGACAAGGTGACCCCTAATTCTCTGCCAAGAGCCCCACACTCCCCCACACAGAGGGGCCATTTTGCCCCTGAGCCTTTCACGGGTCTGTTCTCAGAATGATTCCGTTTGGGTCCAAGCTAACATTTTAAGAAGTAAGCTAGTTTTGCAATTAGCACCTTGTGCCTGCCTCTTTAGCCAGGTAATGTGGAGAAGTGGCTTCCAGCCACAACTGTTTGCCCAGATAAAGGGCAATTTATATCAGGTAGTGGCATGGGATTGGCCCTCTGGTGTCACCTGACCCTCATGGCCAAGAGGATTCTGGGCTAGCTGAACTGCCCGCCCTTGACGGTACATAAAACCTGGTCCCTGGAGCTCTACATTATTTGATGCGGAAATCACCTTTCATTAGCGGAACATCTTGAGTTGGCTGGAATGTTCCAGAAGGCTAGTCCGAGGGCCCAGGTGCTGCCATTTCCCAGTGAGGGCAAAAGAAACGCACATTTCTGTCTTTCAAAGCATGGCACAAAGCAAAACTTTCTCTTTGGTGGAGTTCGCCAGCATACAACGTACATGCGTACAAAGATGTGCTTATTAGGGAAAAGTGTACACTTGTATGCATAATTTCACTGGGAGAAATGTGCACAAAAATGCTTCAAACATGAAAAACAAAGTTCTCCTAGTCAGTCTCCAGAATGACCTGAGCATATAATAAGAACAGGAGAAGTTCTCAAAGCTGAAGATGAAGTGGACTTAAGGTAGGACAAATGTAACACTGAAGGAAATCAGAATTGAAAGATTTGTCCTAAAAGAGATGGGTTGGGAGAGGAGAGAAGGCATAGAGCTGGGTTATCACTGAGATCTTGGCAATGTCAGTGAATTTTCCTGTCCATACCCTCTTGCCTCCGCACAGCTCACCATCATCTTCAAGAGCTTCCAGGAATGCGTGGACCAGAAAGTGTACCAAGCCGAGATGGACGAGCTCCCAGCGGCCTTCGCAGATGGCTCCAAGAATGGGGGAGACAAGCATGGTGCCAACAGCCTGAAGATCACGGAGAAGGTGTCTGGCCAGCACATCGAGATCCAGGCAAAATACATTGGCACCACCATCGTGGTGAGGCAAGTTGGCCGCTACCTCACCTTTGCCGTGAGGATGCCCGAGGAGGTGGTGAAAGCTGTGGAAGATGGAGACAATCAGGGCCTCTACCTCTGTCTCCGGGGCTGCCCTCTCAACCAGCAAATAGACTTTCAGGCCTTCCATTCCACGTCTCAGAGCACGGAGAACCGGGTCCGCCGAAAAGGCCTGAGCCTGCCATCCCCACCGGAGGCCTTCACCTATGAAATGGCCACAGCCAAGTGCAGGGAGAAGCTGCCGGTGGAGGACTTGTACTTCCAGTCCTGCGTCTTCGACCTCTTGACTACAGGCGACGTCAACTTCACCCTTGCTGCTTACTATGCCTTCGAGGACGTCAAGGTGCTCCACTCCGACAAAGAGAAGGTGCACCTGTACGAGAGGACACGAGAGTTTGGGCCAGGCAACGAGGCCGCCTCGGAGCCGTCCGGGTCGCTCCTCCTCCAGCTGGTGGCGGCGCTGTGCTTGGGTGGATGCGCCACCCTCTTCTTATAGGCCTCAGTCACGGGGGGCTTCGTAAGACAGGGAGACTGACAGACTGATGATCAAACGGGTTGCAGACTGGAGGAGGAGGAGGCCCAGCCAACTGGGGTGGCGCATGGTTTATTAAGCCTCCTCCCTCCATGAAAACCAACCCCTGGAGAGCTTGCAGGCCTTCCACGGACGAAGGCCCGTCTCTCCTTGGAAGACACGCTCGACGGGAACTCACCCTGAGCCATCTCTCAGTTCTTCCTCCCGTTGCCAAGGAGGATGGGAAGAGCCTCCTCGCTCCCTACCCTGATGCCCCCTCCTTTGTCGTACTGCAAGTGGTTGTGGTGATCGTGACGTTGGCGTTTGTGTAAAGTTGAATAGTTTGTGGAGAGGCAGAGGGAAGGAGTGGCGGGGTGGGACTGGGCCCAGAGGAGAGGAGACCCATGGAAAGGGGTCTGATCCACCAGAACCCCGCATCGGAAAGCACTGCTCCTTCTGTGTCTGGCCTTCAGTCCAATGCACCTGCTTTGCCCAGGAGCCCCACCTGGGCCCCACACGCTGCTCCTCACCTGTGCACCCCCTCACCTGTGTGGCACCTGTCTGGGCACAGGTAAGCCTCTGCTGGTGCACCCCTGGCCTGCTCTTCATGACTTGGGCAGCTGCTGGCAGCTGTCTTGGCACAGGTGCCCCCAAGGCTTCAGACATCCCCCCCATTGTCCCACACTCCACTAGAGAAAGGGCACACGGGAAGGAGCTGGCCGGTGCCCAGGATGCCCGAAGTTGTTCCTGCCAGTCCCCTCCTCTTGGTTGAGGGTGCTGCTGCAGCTGACCCCCCCCCCCCCGGGGGGCCCCCCCCCCCTGCCACCCCCCCCCCGATGCATCAGAGAGCGCAGCTGGCTGAAGGCTGATGGGAACTGAACTCCAGTCCCGCAGGAGGGCGCCAGCCTGGGAAAGCCTGCCCAGTCTCTCTCTGCAGAAGCGGTGCCGCCTCGAGAGGGCTTAGCTGCAGATTGCTGGGCAGCTTGCCCTGAAGGAGCCCTTCCCCGCCGCTTTGCCCCTTCCCTCACTCCCCTCCCGCTCTTGGCCTCGGCTGGCTTCCCGCATCCTTTGACTTTGGCCCCACCCAAGCAGGCAGTGTGTGAGCAACTTGTAGTCTCCCAGATGGCTTTGGCCTACAGCTCCCAGCAGCCTCCTGGCTTGCATGGCCCATGACTGAGGGCTCGTGGGAGCTGCAGGCAAGACTATCTCTAAGACAGGTCGCCTGTCTCTGTGGCCGAGCCTCTGGCCCTTGCTTGCCACACACGCAGCCTGGCCCACCGGGTGGAAGCCAGTCCCAGGGCTGCTGTGCCTGCAATTCAGCCAGTGGTCCAGGGCCAAGTGGAAAGTTTCCCCAGGCTGGGAGGAGCCACAGTCCAAGTCCACTGCAGGGAACTGAAGGGCAGATCAAAATGGCGCTCAGTGCTTGCTTCTGGAAACCAAGAATCCCAGAGGTGGCTGGGCCTTCTCCCATGCAGGCCTACCAGGCGTGTGATGTGCTTGGGAAAATGCCATTATGGTGTGGCTGAGGGGGAGAATTGCAATTTTAACACGATGTTCCATTTTATTAATAAATTATAGCCTCTTCCCCAGAAATTAAGAAGGTGTCCAGATTAGGGTAGGTGGGGTCCAGCTTCCTCAGCTGATGCTTTTCTCCTCGTTCCCTCCTCCTCTTCCTCATCCCAGACTGAACCATCCAATTGCTTCCGCATCCATTTCCTGGTGCTGGAGTATCAGTTTTAATGCTCAAATAATAATTGAAGGCACTTTATTTTGGATACGTTTGGCCGAGTTCTGGCTCATAGGTGAAATGGAGCCAGCGAAGACACAACAGAATAAAAAAAAAATTGAAGACAAAGCCAACCTCACAAGTCCCGTTCCTTTCTCGCTTATTTTGTGTGTGCAGAACTTGTGTGGGGTATTGATGTAAATATTGTAAATTATTTATTGACAAAAATGCTAGTAAAAACTTCCTTCCCAAAAATGCAGCAGTGAATGACTTTCCATTCCAGGAATCTTGCAGATGGTAGATTTTGCAAATAGTTGTGTCTGTTACCACAACAGCCCTCACGCCAAATAATCACCCTTTTCTTAAAACAGTGGTGGCCCAACAGGCCATGGGCCTTCCAAGCACTGGAAGGGACCTCCCACTAGCCTAACTTGCCTGGTCAGTGGCAAGCGATGCTAGGAGTTGGGCCAGTAGACGCAGTGGCCAGAAGTTGCCTTCCTCAACTTGAGAACATTAGAGAGAAGCGTAAAGTATGTGGCTCCGCGTTCTATCGCCACTGCAGCGCGTGAAGACAAGCTGCATCTCCATCCAGCGCTTTCATGCCAAACCAGAGTGCAAAAGCCACATTGCTAGGAACCTGGGTTCAAATTTGTGGCAGACATCCAGCTTACAAAGGGCTTCCCAAAAGAGTTAGCCCATCACTACTTTGCAAGGTAACACAACTTCCTGCTGCCTGATACCCAAGCAGACCTTGTCCAGCTGGCCAAACCAAGGTCCTTCGGTGCGCCAAGTGTGTGTTCCACACGGCCTTTTGCCAAAGGGGCAGCCTCCCAGTCCCATAGCTCCAAGCTGGACCCAGATCACATGCCTCCCGGGATCCTTCTTCCACAAGCTCTGCCAAAGAACACACAGTATCTTCCCCATGGAAGAGACCAAATAATTTAGGAACACGCATGCTTCACAATAAAGGCAAATTTAGGACACAGTATTTGGGGGCTATCATCCTCTTTGCAGGACTGGACAGCCCATCCTTGGCCTGTTGCTACAGAGAGTTGAGCTGCAGAGCTGTCTTGGCAGCCTAGCCTGGCATGTACAGGATCCAGTTCTGCCTTTTTCAGTCTTTGTTGTCCAGTAGCTGCTCCTTCAGGTAACTGTTGGAACCTTCTTCAGGAAGAAAACGCAAGAGTCACGGGTTGTCCAGGCAGAGGAGGAGGTGATGCATTTACACAGCTGAAGGGTGTGAGACCCAGGAGGAGAACAAGAGGAGGTGTGAATTGGGGAGGTTGGCAACTACCCCCAGACCTGCCCAGCGTTCAGAGGAAATCTCTGCTCCAGCCTGGGGCCTCTTTGCAGAGCCAGACTGCTGGCCTGTGCAAACCCGCTGAAGTGAACGGCTGAGTCAGTGTTTCCAGTATAACAGCCGGCTCCGTGTGGAACAGGGCTCAGCTGTGAAGCTCCCGTGGCTGCACTTTCTTCCAGGTGCAGGGAATCCTTTGCTGGGATCGCTCCTCGCTTCTACCCTTGCCCGGGGGTGGGGGGGTGGGGATGACCTTTCCCTTGCAAGAACGGGGTTCTGCTCACTCTTAGGAGAGCGGGAGGAAGGAAGCGGCCGACAAAGCCCTGGCAGGAATGGCGAGCGACCAGGCGAGTCAAGCGCCTGGGCAAGTTCGGCAGCCTGACGTTGCCCAAACCAGGTGGCCGAGAACTAGCACGGGATGAAGGAGCCGCGATGGAGCCGGAAAGCGCTGCAGAGGCGCGGCTCCCGTGGACAAGTGTCTGTCCCTGCCAGGTGACGTGTCCCCGGCTCGCGGAGAAGCCTTTTCGCTCGGCGGTGGCCGAACACAGTCAAAGGGCCCCCTCGGAGGCTGGGGGCGTTGGGGTGGGCGGCCGTGAAGGCCTCTGCAGTCGCCACAGAGCTCTTCAGCAGGCGCAGCCCACGCGGGCACCGGGGACGGACACCGGGAAGCGCTGCTGTGCGGCCCGGGAGGCACAGTCTGGCTTGCTGGGCGCGAAGGTGATGCGCATCATTTGTCCCTTCATGAACCGAGCTTGTCTGAGAGGAAAGCAAGGGGCGGTTGGACGCGGGACGGCTCTTAGCGGGTTTGTTGTGCAAGCTGCTGTAGGCATCAGTGGCATCACACCCACACGGACCGTGTGGCTGGGGATGATGGGAGTGGTAGTCCAACACTTCTGGAAGGCGCTGACGGAGGGAAAGGTACTATAGTTAATGGAAGGTGGCACATTTGGGAGTGAAGTCATTCAGGCAAGCTTCGGGCAGGGCAAAAGTGAAGATATTCCTTGCAGGTCTAGATTAAAAAGTCAGTGCTCCCCTTAAAGAAGTTGGTGCATGGTGTTTGTTATCCTAGTGGTTTACACGCACGTACAACACAACATTTTCAAGAAATTAATGGTGTTTGGATTTGGGCAGAAGAAGATACACCTTCTGGGGGTGGTCCAGGAAACTGTCTGAATTGGTAGCCTGCCCTTCTTCTTACCAGCCTTCCTGAACTCGGTATTCTGCAGATGCCCTGGACTACAATTCCTATTAGCCTGCTGGAGCTGATAGAAGTTCAAGCCAGGTCCAAACCATGTAGCCGATGGCAAGGTTTGGAGATGCTGAGCTCCGGAAGTCAACCCCATCCATGTTGCAACTTTGGAGACCGGCCGAAGTTTTCTGGCTGCCTGGGATTTGAACCTAGGGGACATTATGATATTAGGAGTGCTTGTAAACTTTGGAGTATGCATCCCAAAACCCTCTGCCTCTCAGCTGCATTTTTATAGCCTTTAGAGACCTTGTCTGCTGTGCCAAGGACCAGTCCAAATGCATCTTCAGGTAACTAAAACCTCACTCAGCTGAACAAAACGCCAAGATGGAAATCACAGCAAACACGGGCAGAAGGATCTCTCTGCTTCTGTGGCAGCAGTAAAAAAAATCAGACGGTGGCCAGATTTGTGAAAATGTCCATCTCACATTTTAATATACAAGAATCCAAAGTACAGCTGTTTTACAATGTAGGAAAATTTAATGCATACTCTATAAACAACATATTTACATCAGAAATCACTAGGACAGTGGCAAAGTTTTGTCACAAATATAAATTAATATTAATTACTGTTTTCTTTTTCTTTCATCAACGGGGCTTATTTTTTTCCCCTTAAGTCCATGATTTTATGGGCGTGTTCTTCCACCCACACATTTTTCGGGGGGAACAGGGTCACTGGCCATAGCATTAGGTGAGTGATAGAAAGAGGTCACCACAAGATCCATGAATAATCCAATGGTAAATTGGATCCCCTGGGTGAACCCGTCCTCCTTCCTTACCTCCAGGACACACCCAGCAGTAAGAGCTCGATCTACTTTAAGTCTTAGCAGTTAAGTCCATGTTTAGGAGAAATAAAGATCACCCCATGAAACCCCCGCAATTCTGCTTGCAGAGAGATGGAAGCAATTTGACAACTGAGCCGGGGAGACCCCAGGTGTGCTGCAGAAGCAAACACGGCTGCTGCCGACCCTCACACACTCCTCACAATGACAACTGTCTTCCATGTGGGACATTTCCCGGGGTCCTACAGCGGTAACGATCCAGTGACACTCGGGACGGTTACTGAATCTGAGGTTTGCCAAAATACAAAACCTGGCAAGTACCAGCGTGCCTCCTCCACCCCTCTCCCCTCGTGGGCGCACCCTTGGCAAAGGTCGCAGGTTAGACTCTGATCCCGGCCTATCCCTCTGACCTGGCCTTCCTTCTTGAATGCGCAATGCCTCCTTCCTCACAGCCTGATTCAAGTCTCATTACTCTGGATTGGCTGAGTTTATTTTGGCCGACCCGTAATACTTTGTGGATCGGGCGTTTAAATTTAAAGAAAAGGAAAGGAAAAAGGCTACACAGTCACACCCCACTTGTCGGTCCTGCCTTTCGCGACGAGTGTATGGCACGGGGGTACAGTTCATCCTTCAAGCAACGCTTTATGTTTCCGAATGAAATAATAACCGTTCTAATGAATTGTTATTTATAAACGCCCTTCTCTCTCCCCCTCCATCTTCCCAGTAGGGGAGAAGGCATTCAGAATTCACATTATAAGCCAACCACCCCATGTGAAAATGAAAGGACCTCGTTAAGAAACTCCATAGTGTGTTTTCTACCATCACAGCTTAATGAAATCAGAGGAAACCTAGTATGTGAACACACACACGTGCTTACACGTCACTCGCACACACATTCTCTCTCACACACACTCCAAACCCTTCTGAAACTTAGGAGAAAATACTGCAGTTTAGTTTATCATTCCTTCTTCTGTAGTTAACTTTGACACTTTAACACAGCCTCACAAACGTTTCAGCTCCTGTCCCCCCAGGAAGCAAACCAGGGGTGTTGTGTTTTGGGGTGGGGTGGGCAATGGGGAGGGGCAGAGACTACTTCCTGGCTGGTCGGTGGATGCCTGAGCGACAGCAGCAAGCCTAAGGACGCCCTTCCAGGGCAACTGCAGGTGCGACGACGGAGCCAGTGGTTTGCGGAAACGAGGGGCTGCTTGGTGCATTTGCAGGACAAACAACCATACCCCAAAAGAGCAGATTTTAGGCCCGCGCCCACAAGCACGGCTCCCGGAGAGAGCGTCTTTGCACATCACTGTTTCTCAGCGTGACCCCCCCAGACCAGCAGGCCTCGATCGCTTCATCTTGCACAAAGCCGCCCTGAAAACGGCGGTGGTAGCGGTGGGGAAACCATTCTGCGGGTCCGGCGAGATCCTCCGGTTCAGAGGACATCCTTCCCTTGGGCCCCGTGACCACGCTTGGTTCTGCTGCACGCAGCAATGCGGCCGAGATCATGGAAGGCAGACGGGGAGGGAAACAGAGTCGGGAAGGAAAGCGACGGACTTGCGGAGACGCCTGTGCACTTCTTTCATGGTTGCGTCTGTGTTTGGCGTTGCAAACTGAAAGAAGAGGTCTGGGAGCTGGAATGCCCAGGCACCTGCAGCTGGATTTCCTGGGTCGCTCATTTAAGGGCCGCTTCACCTCCTGGGAACGCATCCCTCCCACTCGCCCCTAGACTGGATCTCCCTCCTCTCAACCAGTGGGCCCTTAAAGCCGGGGCTCAGGCCGCCTCTTTGCCAGGACCCTTCCAGAAGGAACATGACCCGCGGCAGCCCAGCCAAGCCAAGCCAAGCCACACGCGGCAGTCCCCCACCCCACCCCCATGGAACACCGGCGGGAGTCCAGCTTGGCCTTCCACACAAAATCCATTGCTGAGGCGGGCACAGCCTTTTCCTTGACGGGTCACTCGTGTGTGGGGAAGACGATTCCCGCCCTCCAGCCAGCGGGATTATGGGAAGAGAGGCCGGGGCGGAAGCCAGGTGGGGCCCCGGCTGTGTCCAGCTCCGACGACCCTCCCTTTCAAACACGGAGCCCGGCGGCAGCATCTTCGGAGTCTCTGAATCCGGGCGCGGCGAAGCAGAAGCAGCCGTTCAGCTCCGGCCAAGGGGCCTCGGGCGCGGCTCTCCCTCCTCTCCATCCGACCCTCACGCTCTATGTTTTCCGGCCGCTCCAGTTATACTCCGGATTGTTCTTCTGTTCTAAAGACCGGTCCAGGGGAGACCGGTGGTCGAGGGGGGACTTGGCGTCGTGTGGGGACTTCTGCGAGGGCGGGGAGCGCGGATCCGAGACTTGGGAATGGGGAGGGAGGAGCAGCTGTTTGTACTCGGCCGATTTGTCTGGATGGAAAGGCCGGTAGTGGTCCGAGGGGCCCTGGCCGTGGTAGCCAATGGGGGGCCGGTGGTCGGACATCCTCCGGAACTCTTGCTGGTGGTAATTCTGGGACCGAAACTCATCCGATCTCCGCCTCTTAGAGTCATGGTGGTGCCTAGACCGCAGGCAAGGACAAAAGGGCTCAGCAGCGGAAGACGACCAGGAGCGTGTTCCTCGCCAAATCCAGACTGAGCTCGGGCACCGACCACAGGCGGCGCCCCCGCCTCTTCCATCCGGGTCCCGGAGGCCCCGCTTCCTGGCCTCTTCCCCTTTCCCCTCCCGAGAGTCCATGCCCTGAAACGTGCGCCAAGAACAACGGCCCCTCCCATCCCCAGCACCGGCCACCCGGCCCAGGGCAGGCCGCTCACCTGTCATAGTAGTCCCGGTGGCCCCGGTGGTCCCGGTCGCTGTTGTACTGCTCGTACGGCCGCTTGCGGGGCGGGTTGTTCGGCCGGTAGTTCCCCGAGCTGCGGTGCGGCTCCCCACGCATCCGGCGGTCTCCATAGTGGTGGTCCTTGTACCAGGGCTCGTACTGGTGGTGCCGCTCACCACCCCACACCTGGTTGGCATTCCCGCCATAGTTAAACTTGCGGTCCCGCTGCCAGTCTCCCCGATCTGCACAGCAGAGGAGGAAAGGCGAAAGTCCCAAGGGCCAGCCCTGCAGGGATGCTCCTGCGGCGAATCTGCCAGCACACCTGTCCCGCACACCTGCCCCACACACCTGTCAGAGCGCCTGTGATGGCCTTGAAAGGCCGAAATGCTTTGAGGGTCAGGCACACAGAGGGACTGGCTCCTCCCCAGTCAGCCGGGCCGCACTCAGAAATCCCCTTCTCTACGGCAGGGCCCCATCCAGGAAGGCGAGAGGAAAAACGCACCTTTCCTGGCCACATCATTACTGCGGCATTCCTTAGCCCGGGCGGCTTAGTTAGTTGCCCGTCTCTCAACACAGCAGAAACCGCAGCAGGTTGTTTGATCAGATGGGTAACTTTCACCCAAAGCCTATTTAATCTGCAGCATCGGTCTGTTTTTGCTATGCTGCAGCCGCTTTTCTCCTTTATCATTCATCCATCCATTTATTAAATTTGTTTAAAGGCCACCCATTCACGTCATGCTGTCTGGGCAGGCATTATAATAGAATGTTATTGTACTTTATGACCGATACTGAATTTTGCCATCCTGGTTGGGATACAAAAAATTGCACAAATAAAAATGAGGCATTATTTCTTCTGACAGAGCTGTCCCGAAAGGGAGTAAAGGGGGTGCCAGTGGCTTTGAATGGGCTTCCTAAAGAGGCCCGCATGGAGCCATCGCTACTTTTGCTTCAGCGCCAGGACAAAAACTGTCCTCTTCTGCAGATATTTCGAGGCTGGATTTTAACACCTGATTGTAAGCGCTCACTCTGCTCGGGCAGATTTCTCACCTCTCTCCTCCCCCTGTACTTGTAATTCTAATGTTGGATTAATTTATTTTTTGTAATTAATGTATTTTAATGTTGTTAGACAGCCCTGTCAGGCTATTCAGCAGCACATAAATTTGAAAAGGGGAAGGGAAAGGAAAGGCTTCTGTAGCAAGAACAGGGAAGTCTCCTAAGGGACCCTTAGAAGCTTCTCACGAACTTCTCCTGGAACGCAGCTCCCTCAGTGACCTGTAGAACACTGCCCTTTCATTAAGTGCTTCTCTATTTATTGCCTTTGTTATGATCAGGCGATCCTATGGAATGAGGCAGCGATTGAGATCAAAGTGTGAGACACGCTCTTTCTATCTTTCTAACGAAAGGGGCAACAACGGCACAGCCACAAGAGAAAGTTTCAGCCCGGGGTGTGTACGCGATTCCCAGGGTGTGACAACACCTAGATAACGCACTGGCTACCTGAGCCTACAGAAGCCCTGCATCTCTTCCCAGAATCCTCGGCTGCAACAGCAGAAATTCCTATCCCACCCCCATGGAAAATGAGAGAGCACAACCTTAACCTAGAATGAAGCTGCCTCCTTTAGCCAGAAGCTGAATGTGGTCTCTTTTTTATTTATTCTTTGTTAGGTCACCTTCCAGCCAAAGAATCCGCAGCACTTGATGCGTTATAACACGTCTTCATTTCATTCATAGCCTGCCCGTCATTAAAAAAAAGTCCAAGGGCAGGTGGCAACAATAGTTTGAAAAGCCCAACTCGACAATAAAAGAAAGGACTCTGGTAAAACCCGCTGGCAGCTGCAGAGGTTATCTTTTCGTAAAGGCTCAGGAAAAGAACGGGGCCTGAGCCCAGTGACCAAAGGCAGCAGAGTTAGAATCCCAGAAGAGCAGAACTGGAAGGGACCAGAAGGCCACCAGGCCCGGCCGCCTGCTGTTGCAAGACGCCACATTACACCTTCCCACTCAGGTGGCTGGCCAGGTGACACCTGGCGTGCCGTCCCCATCCTGACGCCAGGCCGCCCCCGCCGAGAAGGGAGGAATGGGGGCCGCGGCTCAGTCTGCTCCCCTGCAGTGAGCCCCTGCGACGAGGCGAGGGCGGGGGGCTTCTGGTCGGTCAGAGAGGCAAAGCAAAAAGCGCCGTGGGGAGCACTCTTGCCCCAGGCCCGTCTGGCGTGAGGAGCACTGTGGGGGGCAGCTTCCGAAGGGGACGGGCGTCCCTCCCTCCTCGTCCCCCGCCTCCTGCAGCCTCTCCGGAGGGCGGAGGGCGGCGCCGGCACAGCCAGATGCTTTCCTGCCACTCTCCCTCCTCGCTCTCACCTGCGTTGCTGAAGTGCCTTTTGTTCGGGTTGTAGTTGTCCCGCTGCGTGTGCATCTGGGAAGGATGGGGCAGCGGCTGGTGGAGCTTCTGGGAACGAGGGCTGTGAGGGATCTGGGACATCACGGAATCTCGGCTGGATCCGGAAGGCTCCGGCCGGAACAGCTTCTTGCCCCCCGTGGCCTCCTCCCGCTTCTTCTGCTCCTGCTGCGTGGGGACAGGAGGGGAGAGGAACACCTGAGCACCTTTGGGGCCCCGCAGCGGAGCGAGCTCACCACGAGCGCTGCAGGTGGGTCTCCGGGCACAAGTGGAGCACCGCGCCTGCGGCTCCACCCCCGGCACCTGCCAGCACACCTGAGCGGTTGAGACACGGCGGCAGGCCACACTCCATAAAGCCAGTTCGGTGCTGCCGGTTTGGGCCCTGCCTGCTGCATCTACGGATCATGGGCTGCATCCGGACGCAGAGCAGGGCAAAAAGATGCAGTGGGAGGAGGGCCGGGGCTAAGGGCAGAGGCCGGGCTCCAGAGCAGACCGAAAGAGCTCCACCTGGGCTCTCTTGAGCCCAGCCCGGCCCTTCCAGTTGCACAACAGCGCAACTCCATTCTCCCCTGCCAGCATGCTGGGATTTGCAACCCCACAGACTAGCAAGGAAGCCAGTTGCAGAAGGAAGAACTGTTTGGGAGGGTGTGCTCCACATTTTTTCTTCTCCAGAATGTCCCCTTGCTTGCCTCTTCGTTTGGAGCAGGATCGTGCCACGCAGCTACAAAAATGCCAAAGGAGCACTTGGCCACCCCACCCACGTCTGTGCTCACCTCCTCGTCCTGGGACCGCTTCTTATGAGCCATCTTGTACAGCTTGTGCAACTTCCGGGCATCAAATTCGGTGAACTTGGACACAAATATCCACAGGTTCCTGGGAGGAGGAGGACAGAAATGACGCTTGCTCTGGTGAACCCCGGAACTGCCGTCCGCAGCCCACGCTCTTCCTGTTGGGCTACCCTGGAAGTGCTGCCCCTTAATACACGGTGAATTTGGCACAGCTGGAGATAATGAAACCGTGGCAGGGAAACCTTCCGGGCATGTGTTCAGAAATGCTCTCCCTCCTCTGAGAGGGTCGAATGTTCCCGTCTTGAAGATCCTCAAATCAAACCAAGCCCAGGGACTTCAGTGTTCAGCACTGTACATCCCTGTCCAGATATCATGCACACCTGGGCTAAAATCATTATTTTTACAAGCTGATTAAATCAAAATCCTGAGCCAGAGTAGCCCAAAAATAGCTTCTGCTGCCTCTCCAGTTTCGTTTTTTGTTGCCTTTTGATCCTGCCCCGTCCAGAGCATACAACATAGGAACCCACTGATATGCCTAGCACCGAATTGTGTCACCTTAGAAAAAGCACACACGGGTCTGGGTGACAATGCTGGCAGGTGGCCTTGCCCAGGATGAGTGCAGCCACCCGTCATGACCGACAACTCCGGCGTGGCCTCAGGAGTCCCCGCCAAGGGAGGTTTGGAGGATGGCAACCAGAGATGGGCCTTCTCAGTGGCGGCCCCCAGACTGCGGAACAGTCCCTCCAGGTAGGCCCAGCGGGCACCAACACCGCCGTCCCTCCACCGCCACCTGGTCAAGATGTTCCCCTGCTCCCAGGCACGTCGAGGCAAGTGAATCAATGGCTTGGCTTATGCCCCAGTGTTTGCTTCGTCATGGTTGGGTATTTCCATTTTCAGCTGTTTTGAATGCCTGCGTCAGTCTGTTGGAAGTCATACGAAGCCGCTGCCTCCTTACTGACCAAGGCTGTCCAGGGTTTCAGTCTGGCGGCCCAGCCCTCGTGAGCGCTGGGATGGCAGGGGGCCTTCCTTTGGCCTCGTGGCAAAGTGCACTTGCGAGAAGCAGCCACGCAGGCCGTCCCGCCAAGCAAGCTCCTCCTGAGCAGAGACGGGCGGGCAGCGCCATAAATGCACGCTGACTCCCTGCCCTTGACCCAGCGATCGCCGAGCCCCGGCGGAACCCCTCCCTGGCTTCCAAAGATCGCTGGCATTTCTCGGGGCGGGGCGGGGGGGGATCCTGCAATTCACACATGCATGCGAGGTGATTGCAGAACTGAACAATAACGAGGGGCTGACCACATAGCATGCAAGCTGTTGGAGCGGCGATGCCAGAGTTCAGACCGCCGAATGTCCCAGTTCAGGGCTCCCCTCTGCCACACACGCGCTTGGACAGCTGGAGGCGAGTGAGCTGCTCTCTTCCGCGGCCTCCGAGTGGGGAAACAGCACCTGGCCACTGCACTGGGAACCTTGCATCATTTACCTAAACCTTCTGATCATTCACTATCTAAACACCTCATATTAATCGCTGTTATTATACGAATGGCAAACATTTCCCAGTGCAACCAAAATGGGTTAGGATGACGGCATCCGGGGAATGCCAAGCTTTGCAGACACACCAAAGGGCTTCAGGGAACAAGCCCTAATGGGGCACTGATGCAAAAACAGCTCAATGGAGGCGGTGGACACGCTCAGTGGACAAGAAATGGAATGGAGTACCCCAGAAGGGGGCATAGAAGGCTGGCTGGCTGGCTGGCTGGCTGGCGTGCGAACAAGAGTGCTTCGCAGTGCAACCCTTTGTTCCATTTTCTGTTTTTTCCTACAAATATTAAAATGTCTGACCTTTTGAAGGGCCATAAACACATGAAGGGGAGGCTTACATATTGCAAGGACGAAAGAGGACTGCAAAGCGTCTTTTCCTGGCTGTTACTACCACTATTAAGGAACTCAACCCTGACTGCTCTTTAGAAGGCCAGATACTGAAGCTGAAGCTCAAATACTTTGGCCACCTGATGAGAAGGAAGGACTCCCTGGAGAAGCCCCTGATGCTGGGAACAATTGAGGGCAAAAGGAGAAGGGGACGGCAGAGGATGAGGTGGCTGGATGGGGTCACTGGGGCGGTGGGTGTGGGCTTGGGGGGACTCCGGGGGATGATGGAGGACAGGAAGGCCTGGAGGAGTGTTGTCCGTGGGGTCGCGATGGGTCGGGCATGACTTTGTGACTAAACAAACAAAAAAACCCTACAACTTTTAATATTATGATTATTGCTAGTGATTTGAGGGATATCGTGCCCTTCCCTGCCACGAGCCCAGGGTGGCGAATCACCCTCATGAAACAGCGCAACACACAAACCCTATTAAAATCGCAACTTTGACATCACAAACAGAAAGCAAACTATTGCATGGTCTTTGAAACCAAGATAAGGCATCGGCCGGCGACACCCGCAAAGCCAGGGCCGGCCAGTGGGGCTCTTGCCGGTGCCCCGCCCCCCCGCAGCGCGGCCCTTCCGGCCCGTTCCCGGCCCAGGCAGACCTTCTCCACAGCTTGACATGCTCCTGGTCAGAGTACGCCTTCAGGCACTCGGAGATCCGGTCGCCGATCTTCAGCAGGCAGCTGCGCGTGTGCTCCAGCTGCTCCTGCACCGACAGCCCCTTGTCCGGCTTGTCCAGCTGCTTCAGCGCCTTCTTGACCGGCCGCATTCTCTCTTTGCACTCGGAGGGGAAGAGCAGAGAGCAGAGCCACAGGTCAGCGCGTGGGTGGAGGGCAGGGGGGCGTTTCCTGGGGCCGACCCTGCCCCAGTCTCAGGGGCTGCTTTGGGGGCGGCCCATGGAAGGCGGAGTCCCAAGGCAGCTCGGCGCGAGCTGGAAGCACTCTGCTAGGGTTGGACGTGCCGAGCTGGACTTGGGATGGGAAGATGGGAAGAAGGGCTGTGGTGGCCGATCTACCCAGGTGGGCGGACGGTTGGCCAGGGATTGCGGAAACCGCCCAGAGAGCTTTGGCGGGTGGGGGGGCGTAGGAAAGTGAAGCAAACAAGCAGCCACGTGGCTTGCCACAGAATGGGGAGGGGCCCCGGCTCCCGTTGGCAAAGTGGCGTTTTTCTCCTGCCTGAGGAGGCCGGAAAGGAGCACGTGTCAAGAAGCAGTGAGCCGAGCGATGGGCAAACTCACGGCCAGCTTTCCCGTGCACGACGCTGCTGATCCGCCAAGCAGCAGGGAAAGGAAGCAAGGGCAAGCCATGTGCCGCGCGCAACAGGCGGCTGCTGCTAGGTTTATTTTTGCAAGAAGGGGGCTGGCAACAGAGCAGGGGCCACCTGGGAAAGCAGCGCTTGCTGTACGGGCCCCCCAGGGCCCCTCCCTCACGCCTCATCCCAGCACGCAGGCGCAGAAGCCTTGCTCCGGAGTTCACAACCCTACATCGCACCTGGACCCCCGAGCCTGAGTAAAAGTGACCCATCCGAACGCAGAGCGGGTCCCACAACCCTCCACTCGTCCAGCCCCAACGCTGAGCGCCGCCTCCCCGCAGAATCCGAAAACACTTACTATGCTGAAGGTCTCCTGGTCCAAGTCATCATCCTCGTCTTCCCCGATGGGGACAGGGTCACTCCCTGCGGTGATATGAACGGGCCCCTGGGTTTGCTTCCCTTTGCTTCCAGATTTGGCCTCACCACCTTTGGGCTGCAAGAGAGCAAAATGAGGCCCGGTGCAAAACCCACACTTCCGAGAGTTCTCAGAAGCACCAAATCAGGGAGGGCACCGCGATGTGAGAGCTGCAGGATCCAGCCACTGAGGTGCCCGGTGGATCGACGGGGACAAAGCACCGGGAGGCAAGCACGTTTCCATTTTCAGGTGAACAGCCCAGAGATGCAGGCTTTGGAGCCCACAGGAAAGCAGGATAAATATTCCTGGCTTATTAAATGGAGGCAGAAGCGCGGAGAGGCCATGCAATTAAACCACCAAGGAATTGCTGATACACACAGAGCAGGTTGACAGGAAACAAGTTCCTAGACCAGATGATTCTGAAGAAGTACTGAAGTATCAGGAGCCAACGGGCTCACTGATTAAAATTTTCCTAGGATCAAAGACAGAAGTCCAGAATCTTGCATCACTCCTGCACTCACCTAACAACTAGCAAAGCCAGTACGGAGTGTGTGAAGGAAGACAACTTAATGCTAATTGCATAATGAGTGGGCATTTCATAGCTGGCAGTATAATAATAATTAGACCGAATCACTGAAATGCATTTCTCTCAAGGGGAAAGAGGGTTCCTATTTAGAGGTCTAATGCTTCTAGAAACTTTGAAGCAGTCGAATAAAACCATTTTTTCTCCATTTTTTTTCTGTTAAAAAACGGTGTTTTCAGAAAAATGGGGTGAATGCAATACTAATATCCTTTATGAATGGAAAGCTGTTTGGTTACTTTAGGAATAGATACTGTGTTAGATCTAATTTGATTTGGCATAAAATTATGTTTTGCATATTACAAATGCAGCTTATTCAGACAATAATTACAAATGGGATTCACTTTTTCAAAATCTTTATTTTTGTTTATGTCCTGGACTGTAAGTAACCTCTTTGATTTTGCCCATCTGTAAGAAGCAGGCAAGAAACAATAAAAACAGAGGAAAGCATCAATTCTTCCACTTCCACATGGCTACCACAGACTTCAAGAAAGGGAAGGCCTGCTCAGAGGGAAACAACCATCTCTCCCCTTTCACACATGAATTTCTTCACTGGGTGCATTTCCAAACACAGGCCCATTTCTTTCAAATGCTGTGGAAGAGGGAAGAATCTGAAGTGGGTGGGAAGGGAGAGGCGGGAGAAGCCGGGTCCGGCAAATGCCCTGCTGCCACATGCCGTTCCTGGACCAAATCAACAAGGTGTTGCTGTTCATTTTCCAATCCAGTCCAATGCAGTGTTTGTGCTCTCACCACGTACATTTCTACCTTTGAATCTTAGCTCTGAAGGATCTGTCGCAGCATGATGAAGGCTACAAGATTCCAAATTTTCCCCATCCCATTCAGGAAATCTTCCGCTTTCCTTTCTTCTGTACTGTCAATGAAGATACTTGGATTCTCAAAGAGGGTTGGCCAATGGGTAAGGAATTTCCAACAAAATGCAATATCTGATTTGGATGCAGTGATGGCTGAAGAAATTGGCTTTGGGCTTGCAGAGAGATCTGCAACTGAACTCAAAAGGCTTCCTGATCACATAAAGGGTTCCTTACATTCTGGGTACTTCCAGATCCTCAGCTATCACCATTTCTGGAAGAGCATCTCTGTTTTGTTTAGTAAACTTTTGCAGGCGATCTCCACTCCACCCATCACGTTTCGGTGCAGAACTTCACTCTCACCGTTTGACTTCTGCATTTCTTCTTCTTGCTTCTTTGGAAAGAGTGTGCGAGTTGCTTTTGCCTGTTTTCGATCTGTCTTGCTTCTGCGATATCCTTAAGGAGTAAGTTCCGATAGAACTCACACACCCTCTTGCAGGAATGCATGGACGCTTGCCCATTAAGATCTCCTGGACTGCTTTCAGGTTACCTGCACGGTCTTCGGCAGGACACCACGTAGTGTAACGCTGATAAATCCTGCAGGAGTTCTGTCCTCTCCTGTGCCAACGCTTCCGTACCAAGCTGGATGAACTGCTGGCACCACAAGGCCTGACATTCCTTCTGCCCTTCACAACTGTCCACCTGCCTGTGCGAACTGCGAAAGCTGATCTTTTCTTGTATTCTGACTTGAAAGGAGGGTTTGCTCAAAGAAGATCTGCTGAGAAACAGTGAGGCCCTCTTAGGAAGTCAGCTGCTTCCTGCCAAGTCGCACGTCCAGTTATTGACGATGGGACTCCAGAGGAATGTGCAGCTCTCTGAAGGGTCTGGCAATCCCTCCCCCCTGGTCTTCCGGTGCCACCGTGCCTACAAATGGAGCTCCTGCGGATTTGGGGGGTCCCGTCGATTGCATTTGTCCCCTGAAGACGCTGCTGCTGGAGAAACGCTCAGCAAGGATGCTGGAGCTGGAAAACAGGCCAGCTCTCATCAGTGTGGCTCCCCGCCCTTCAGTCCAGGAAGGGCCCTGAATGCCTGCAGGCCGCTTTCAAGCCTCACATGATGCGGGGGTCTGCTTTGTCATCCCAGTCGCATCCAGAAATGCACACCTGACAGGATGCCTCTTTCCTCCAAAGTACTTGCAGTGCGGAAAGGCCTTCATAGGCTAAATGTTGGGGTCATCATTTTGCTGAATGGAGGGAAAGGAAGAGTCATTCAGCGACAGCTTGTCAGCACACACTCGGCTGCGGCATGGCAGCGAAGCGTCTGATTAGCAGGAATGTAATTGTGCTTCAAAGGTGAACAAATGCAGTTACACTAGTCAGATGAACTTAAGCACGTACCTGTCACATAGGTATGCTTTCCGGTCCTTCTTGTGGCTTTGTACTTTCTTCCAGTCCTTTGAGGCCCAGTCAAAGGGACAGAGACAAGCCCGTCAACTGTACCAACGCAAAGCCAACAAGCGCAGGAGGAGCTGAAGCCTCCTTCCTGCGCTCGGCAATGCTCCCGAGAGGCAGAAAGAAATCTCGCACCCACTTCTGAGAGCGGCACTCTCCGTTCACAAGCAAGGAGCTGCTTCCCCCTCGGCGCACAAGAATTACAACGGCCTGATACGTTGTCTTCCACATTCACCCATTCCATAGTCTTTAGAAAAGATCTGTGGGAGCAAATGCACAGACACCTTGTCTGGAATATGTTATCCTGCATCCTGAAATGTTCTATAGTGCATGTTAGCCATTTCTGGGGAGAAGGGCTTCAGGACACAATGGAGAAAAAATGGTTTTTCCCTGTTTTCCTCTCCTGGGCTTCCACATCTCTAGTTCTGCTTGTGGCATTGCCCGAGGACCACTCGCACCTGTGAACCTTTCTTAGGAACGTCAGCATGGCCTAGTCCAGGGTAGGCCATGGGCCCTGGCAGTCCCAGGTGAGAATCATCCAGTACCTTCTTTTTCTCCTTCGTTCTCCTCCTCTCCTTCTCTCCTTCCTTCTCCTTTCTGCTTGTGGTCTGCTTGTCTTTATTTTCCTTGTTCTCCTTTTTCTGCTTCTTCTTCACGGGGCTCTTATCCAATCCATCCTCCTGCAAAGGAAGCAGGGAGGGAGAGGCATCCAACATATTTACTCCAAAGGAAACTGCCCCTGCTTCCCATGAAAGGACCTTGAGGCGGCTAGCAAGCAATGGCTGAGATCAGCAAAGTAAGGACACCAACAGTTAAAACGGCAAAAATTAGGAGGAGCAAAGTTTACAACAGCAAAGCAAAGAAAGTGGCAGCAGCAAAATTTAGAACACCAAGCGAGACCAGAACATGTCCAAAGGCCACTAAAGAGGCAGAAAAGGTGACTTCTCTCGGGAAGAACTCAAAATGCTGGCCGCAGCCTCTGGCATCCTCCATGAGATGCCTGTCTCCCCCTTGCAGCTCATTCCCCAAATTTCTGGCATGTACACGCAGGGCCTGGTGGGCTTAATACGCTAGCTGACTTTCTTGGCTGCATTCCCTGAGACCATCATCCTCAGCAAGCCTCAGTCTGAACAGTGACCCTACCAGAAGCTGTCCAGTTGGGTCCACAGGGTCACTGGTTGGCCCATGAAGGAGTCAGGCTTTGGTACCCAAGGCCCGCTCTGGGGTGGCGCAGAAATGTCCCCTTCCCCCATCCCAGAGGGGGCTGCTGCCCCCTGGACTTGAACCCGGGGTCTCTGGCACGTGAGTCGGCTCCCGCTGACGGGAGGGGGGCACATCGCAGCAGCCGGGCAACACCCCATTTACCTTGACCTCCCCCTCTTCTGACTGGTTGTCTGAGTGCCGGGGAGAGGAGACTTCGTTCCCGTGCTCGTCCCGGCCTTTGGGAGACTTGTTCTCTTTCTTTCCCCGGGGCTTCCTCTTTTTCACCTTGGTCTAAGGCAGGAGAGATGCTGATCAGGGGAAGGTCCAAGAGGCCGGCGCAGCCCTCAGCGCCCAGCAAGGCAAACGGGGCCCTCCCGCCTGTCCGCTGCAGAAGCCCTGCCGAGACCCTGCTCTGCCCAGCGCAGGGAGATGCTGCAAAGTACCAGCCACACATCCACAAGCTCAGACCTGCCACCACCAGGACTAGAAGCTTGACATTTGCACGAACGCAGGAGGACCCCAAGCAGAGGCAGAGGAGATGCAAGGCCCGGCCTGAACTGACCTCTTCCATTTCCTTCACGCTATCCTTTTTCTCCATGTCCTTCTTGAGTAACTTCAGTAAGTAGTCAACTCGGGTCTGGAGCTGCTTCCCCTGAGGTTTTTTGTCTGTCTCAACAGGCAGGATCTTGGAAAGAATTTTTTTAAAGCATGCGAACATCAGTGAAACCCAAACCCAAGAGTTGCCAACTGCAGGCAAATAACACAGGGAACAAGGAGCCTTATCAAAATGAGGAAGTGGATCAACTCAGCAAGAACCCAAAGGGAGGTGGGGGAATTGGGTGCACCTGTTGGATTGACAGCCAGCGCTGCAAACGGGCCTCTGCTTTCCTCTCCAAGTGCAACCCGGCATTCCGCCAAGGTCTCCGCCTCACATCATTTGCCACCGTGGCAAGCAAGCCGGGCAGGTGTCTGGGGGATGCCAAACATGGAGACGCACAGAACAACACCGAGGGTCAAGTTCCTGGTACCTTGTTGGTTAATTTCAGCTCCGGATCCGATTTGATGAGCTCCCAGTTCCCGTAGCCGTGCTCGTAAATTCCGAGCAGCAAGCGAGAGTCGTCTTCCACTCCCCAGTCCACGTCAAAATGGGCAGCTTTGGCGCGGCAGGTCAGGCAGAACCTGCCAAGGTGATCAGAGAGCAGAGGATGAGGAGCGCTTTCCTGGAGGCACACCCTTTCTGTGACATTCTGGGGCAGGAGGGTGAAAGGACAGAGGACAGCCGTGTGGCTCTCTCGTGCCTCCGCACCTTCCGAAGGTTTGGGAGGCATAGAAACATAGAAACAGAGCGGGTCAGAAGGGACCTCCTGGGCCATCTAGTCTGACCTCCGGCACCAGCCGGCTCCACTCACGACATGCCCAGCATGTGGACGTCCAGCCTCTCCTTGAACACCCTCACCGATGGGGCCTCAACCACCTCCCGGGGAAGCCCATTCCACACCCTCGGGGTCCTGACTTTCAGGAAGTGCTTCCGGCATCCAAATGGGACCTTGGCTCCCTGAGCTTTGCTCCAGACAGCCTTGCAGCCCAGAAGGAAGACAACTAGCCTAGGGACAGGCAGGTGAGATGCCACAGCTTCCTGGCCATGTGCACACTGGATCACAAGACACGGGGCAAGAATTGCGCTTAGCAGTTAGCCAAAGTGATACCGCTTCCATTTATCACGAAGCCGAGTGTTGCCACGGCAAGGATCTCTTGAGCAGCGGCAAAGCTGGTGTGCCTTCCACTGCAACAGTGGGTGTTTTCAAATAAACTCCCTTTTGGCAGCAGCTGGCAGGATCCTTGCAAGGGGTGCAACCCGGGGACCGCTTCCCAGCCTCATCCCACACCCCCGTGGGGCTGAGCGTGAGTGCCGGCCGATCCAAGGGGAGCAGAAGGACGCCCACGACGTGGTCCCTGAGCTGTGGCAGGCCGTCCTCGCAGCAGCCCTGGCTGCGGGGGCAACCCCGTCACGCTGCTCCAGCCCAGGACCTCCTCCAGCCCAGCCCAGCCCTGCTTTGCAGGCAGTCCAGGCCCGGGGGACATGCCCAACCACAGGGGATCTGACAGACCCCAGCGCAAGTTGTGGCTGTTGCGGCGGTTGTTGCCACTCCCCAGGAGGCAGGGAGATGACACACCACACCGCCGTCCCTCCCAGGGGCTCGGCAGCCAAGCCAGCCCCGTACCTGTGCAGCACAAGCCCCGCCGTGGCTGGCCGAAGCCATCCTACTGAGCTCCTCGGCTTCGCTACACGCGGGAGAGGCAGGCGCTGGCCTTCACAACACGCGGCCCTTCGCCACCTGCCGCCATCACACCCCGCGACCTGCCCGCCCGGCGCGTCCGCGTGCACCTGGCTCTCTCCTCCGGGTCCCTCGGAATCGTCTGGTGCAGCAAGGCGAAGTCCTCCTCGTGCTGCATGATAGCTTTCACGTTCACCTGGACGCCAGAGATCTTGATGGTGGGACCTCTTCTCTTCCCCGGCCCTTTGCCTGCGGAAAGGGCCAGCCCTGCATCAGCGACACAAAGCAGAGGCCGGATGCAAAGCCCCCATTCCAAAGCCGCCCCCCAGCAGCTAGCAGCCTGCTTCTCAGCCCTGTGCCATTTCCGAAAAGCACTGACGTCATGCGTGTCTTTGAAGCATGCCCTTCCCAGCTCGCAAATGCCCATTGGCCAGATTGCTGACACTCCAGCAACGCTTTGTGGAAAGCATTTTCGGCTACACCTGAGTAACACCAGTGTCCATGGGCAGGTGTCAGGATCTGCAGCAGCTTCACGGCTCCTCCTACTCGCTGAGCACCAGAATAGCAGCCGTGGTCACTGCAGGATCGGTCCCATACTCTAAGCAGCGGCCGGGCCCTCAGGAGCACTGCCTGGGAGCCCTGGGGAAAAGGTGGGCAGGAACGGACCCCAGAAGCTGCCTTGGCACGGGAGCGCTCCTGGTTTGCTGGGAGTGTCTTGTTTCCTTGTTGTTGCTGCCTCAGTCCCCGTTCTCATTCCTGGACTTTGCTCCTGGATCTTGTCTCCTGCCTCGGTCCCAAGGTACCCCCTCCCGCTTGCATCGCTTCTTCATTACTAACTCCCGACCTGCCTTGACTACGTTAATATCCAGCGGAGAGCACTTTGTCTTGCGCCTCTGCTAACCCCGGCTCTGGTTTTGCCTGACTGGACTTGGTTAGGACTGGCATCTGGGCACCGGCTTGGCTGCCCAGGTCCTGGTGCCACGCCTTGCTGTTCTGCTGCACATGACCCAGGCTCTGGCAGCAGGAGGGCCAGCAATGCTTTTGTGAGCTCGTGACTTTAGCATGCCTTTGCAAACGCCGCCCAAAAGCACTCCTTTGGCTTTGGGATTAGCCCAAGAAGGAAACGTCCTGAAAAAACTGAGGCAGAAAATTGCACTTGCATGGAACAAGAGCACACTTCTTGTGCAGATGAGGAGTGATGGAAGTTCAGGGCAGAAATGGCCACCCATTTCAGCCGCTGTTCCCACCTTGGCCAGCTCTGGAAAGAAGCCCTGTAGTTCCTTTCCAGAGCAGCACCCCCGTCGGTTCCTTTCCAGACCTGCATTTCCTTTCCAGACCAGCACCCCTCCTCCCTTGCTGGCTGGAGATACCCCAAAGTCAGAGGGGGTGGCCACTCCCAAGGGCTGCCGGGCCTTGCAGAACCCCTGGCCAAGAGGTTTTTCTCCCATCCCACTGCCACCCCACAAAATGAACGTCCCATTTTGGAACTGACTGGGACCCACAACCCTGAGATGCTCATCTTTGCAGCTTGCTGTCACCTTGACTTAATGAAAACAAATCCAATGAGCTTCCTCAGCAGTTCTGCCGCCAGCAGAATTCTGCTTTCCTTAGCAGAACGACAGACTCACCTGGCACAGAACCTGAATAACGGAAGCTCTGCCCATCTGCCTCCTAGAAATAGCAGTGATTTTTCTGCAGTCCTAGGCCCAGAGAAACTCAGCTCTGACACTCTGCCAGCAGGCAGAGGAAACCGGCGTACCTTCCGTCGGGTTCCCCTTCAGCTGCTCTTCATACTCCTGCATGGCTGAGACGCAACTGCTGTGGAGGAGCTCTCCCAGCCGCTTCAGGTCTGCCACGGACTTGTCCACCAGTTCGGCGTCCCTGGCAATGCACTCCAGCCTGGGGAGGAGAGCGGAAGGCGGGGAGTGAGAGCGAAGGGGTGCCGAGCAGCCCGAAAGGGGCATTCCAAAGGCCGAGCCAGTGTGGTCCAGTGGTTACAGCAGGGGCCCTCAAGCCTTTCCGCCAGGGGGCCAGTTGAAAGCTGCCGGTGCTGGGCGCAGGCCGGAAAGGTGGTGCCAGCGGTGCGCAGGCCAGCACGGGGTGGCATGTGTGGGCACGTGGCGAGGCGAGGCGAGGGGCAGGTGGGGGTGGGCACGTGCCTCACCGTGAGGTGGGCACACGGGGCAGCAGCTTGCTTGCTTGGAGATCGTTTTTCTCTGAGCACGCAAACCGCTGCCTCCTCATGCATGGGGCGAGGTGGCGGGTGGCGGGCGGGCAGGCAGTGGGTCCAAATGGGCATGGCAGCCGGATAAATGGGCATGGCGGGCAGATCCAGCCCCCAGGCCACAGTTGGAGGACCCGCGGGTTAGAGTGTTAAGTGGGAGATCTGGATTCCAATCCCTGCTCGGCCATGAAGCTCACTGGGCGGCCCCCTCTCCGCCCGAAGGATGAACGAAGGGGAAGGCAGAGTGGAAGCTCTGCGGGAACTGCCTTGGGTCCCTCGCAGGGAGCAGGCAGGGTGTGAACAAAGAAACAAGTATTTATACTGCCTCTGCCCTGTCTTACTGTATGCTGGACCTCTTCACTCTAAAGGGCCAGAGCTACAGAGGCAGTGCGGAGTAGTGGCCAGAGTGCTGATGGCACTCAATGGGAGGGTCAAGCTCCCCCCTAAGCAATGGCTGTCTGCAGCAGCTAACCACCCATTCACCATTCATGCAAATGCTTCTCATATGTCACATCTCCATCCTAGCTGCCTTCCTTCCAACGACGTCACAGGAGCACCACGCGACTTCCCCCTCTCCCATTTATCCCGCAACCACCCTGCGAGGGACAATGGCTCCTGCGAGGTTACCCACGGACCCTCGCAGCTGAGCAGAGGTTTCCACACTGGGCAGTATAACTGACGCCCAGCCAGGCCAAGGGTGGCGAGCTGCTTCGGGGCCGAGGGCCACTCTCCAGCAGTGGGCAGGGCCGGAGCCCAGTACAGGCAGCATTTGCATAGTGGGCGGAGCTGGAAACCAGCCCGAGGCCCATGGGGGGCCCTTGGGCTGCAGTTCCCCACCCTCACTTAATACCCCCCCCCGGACTGCCCCCACACAGAAGGAGAGCAGCATTCGGATCCAGGGCTAATGCTAGAGCCAACCATGGTCCCCCACTGCCTGCATCCTGCTGCTTTCTCCCACCAAAAACTAAGACCACCCCCATCACAACGAATAGCCAAGTCTATCCCCCTAGGAGAACTCTGGATAGCTCTACAGGCTGGCCTGGGGGCCCAGTGGGTTGGACGAGGCCTGCGGGCCACGGGCTCTGAGCCTCTGCCCTTGTGAGGAAGGTCTGAGGGTAACTCCACAAGCAAATCTCTCCACACTAACCTCTCCAAAGGAACGCCAAACTTCTTATAGGCCTTGATAAACCTGGGGAAATCCAAGAAACAGAAAAGCAGAAGCTGTCAGGGGTAGCAACCAGGAACACCTTTATTTGAATCAACTCTTGCATGGGTCTAAAACTTGCCAACTCCCAACCCACAACCTGTACCCCCAGCCAAGCAATAAATTCAGCAATGCGCCAGCTAAAAAACCCCAAACAAATGTGGACCGCGCACCCTTAGCAAAAGAGGCACCCTGTGCTGCCGTGGCGGGGATTTGGCGCACACAGAACTTGTGCCCCATGATGCACAGGGGCCCCTTCAATCCATTTTAGGGTCCGGGCCATTCAATCAGCAGAAGCGCCCTGAACGGTGGTTCATGAAATGCTTCTCCTTCAGGCCCCTGTGCTGCCTTTCGCATGCATGCATCAAACACGAGCGGGCACAGCGCCACGTTGCGGGTCGGCTGACATCGCAGCAGCTTGCAAATCTGAACAGCTGCAGCATTTCATCAGCCGATCAGGTGCTCAGAGTGGCGTTACACAGGAGAAAGCAAATTTAACTACCACTGTCCACCCAACTCAATGGGCAACTGATTTGAAATACTTTATTTTCGGAATGAATGGGGTAGCGCAGGGACTTGTTCAAAAGCCCGGAAACCAGCAAAAGATCAGCGGTGGGGAAAGGCGGGCTGAGCCTCGAGGGAAGCGCACAGGGCCAGCTGACAACCTGGGACCCCAGGCGCTTTCCCGTGACCCTGATCCCTGCTCCTGTCAGGGTGGGACTTGCTTCCAGTCCCAACTTGATCTCACAGTAATACAGGTTTTAAGAAGAAACCATTCATTAAGTTAGGACACAATGGGGAGGCCGTGGCAGGTCCGAAAGCCAAGGTAGATGCATCCAGTCTCGTCATGGGTAGCTGTGAAGCAACAGGGGAAGCATATGAGCCCACAGCTCATGCACGCTCGACCCTGTTCCATCGGAGCCAGAAATTTGTTTTTGTCCATACACACAGTTTGATTTATCAACAAAGCATGAAAACATGCACAGCCCTCTGACTGCTACGCAGAATCCAGACGGCCACAGGAACGGTTGGCTGGGAACCCACGTGGGAGCACCTCCCTCCAGGGCAACATGGCCGCTCCCACGCTGGCTGCAGTTCCAAGGCTGCAAGACCAACCTCGGAGTCAGTGTTGGGCGGGGGGGGGGGCGCAGTGAAGCTCTGCCAGGACGCACTGCATCCTGGCAGCGCCTCAGCCTGTCCTCCCTGTGAGCTGTGGCAGAGTTGGCCGTCTGTGTTTTGCCCTCCGCACCCCTCCCAGCCTCGCTGGAATGGTTCAGCTCGGAGGAGGACAGGTAGCGCCACTGAATCATGCCATCCGTCCATTAAGATGCCCTTCAGCTGCTGGCAGGCCCAGTTACTGGACGGGAGCACGAGCCTGCCAGGGCCATCTGGTCAGCTACTGCTGTGCACCAACTGGGATTACAACAACTGTTCTACATAGCAGGAGTCCTTCGCTTTGGGGGCGGGTGGCCACAAAGCCCTCCAAGGATGCTGCAGGGACTTAATTTTTTTTTAAGTAAGGGCCATTGAGGATATATTAAAGGCAGGGGAAGCAGTGAATTTGGAGCTGTCCCGGTATCCGCAACCCTAGTTCGGGCCCAGTGCTGACCTCCTGATTTCTGTGTCTGTGAATCCCTCCACCATGTCCTTCCGAACGCTCCGGGGACGCCCTCTGCGTTTCGGCCTCTTATCATCATCCGAGTCCTCCGTCTCGCTCTCTGAGCCCGAAGACCTCTGCAATTTTCTCTTCATCTCGACGTCCGAGTCACTGTCGTTGGCCTGAGCCTGCAGGAACCAGGACGGCAACAGACCACTACAGATCACCTACCAAAGGTGTGTTTCCCGCAAACCCAAACGCTGTGCTTCACAACCTGTGAGAGAGGCCAACTGACTGGGCAGCAAGCTTACTGGAGCTCGGAAGGACCAGCAACTGCTTAGAACAGTTTGCAACTGTTTAGAACTCCTCAGAGTCATTTGGAATTGCCAACTGCTCTTCTCCAGAGAGAGGCAAAGTGGACAACTGGTTTATACTGGAGCTCCGAGTTTCAGGAGGGAAAAGAAAATTCTGCACCTTGCTAGCTTACACAGGCCCTCTCACCTGCAAGTTTACTTCGGAGTGCAGGATTTTTGTCAAAAGGCTTTTTGATGCCCCAGAAAACTAGACACTTGCTTAGCTGAAGGAAGCTAATCAAAGTAGCAAAATGCATTATGAATTACAGCAGGTTCAGAAACATGAGGTGGGCGCGGATGGTTGGGAGACTATTAGCAGCCACATGGGAAAGGAAGTCCCTGGAAGAATAAGGGGCTCATCTGTAAATGGACAAAAGGAAACGATCAGCAGTCTATGACTGCATCCACTTCGTTTCCGGAGATCGTGCTGGTGACGTGGGGTCCAGAATGTCTGTTTTCTGTACTTCTTGCGAGACTGATTTGGGAAAGCTGAAGGGCCGTCTCAGCGCATGGGCCGGATGGGCCCCATACTTGCCCGTGGGCCCCATACTAATCTGTGCATGTCAACCCTTCAATGCACCTTGTATCATATATGGTACATACCAATCAAAGGCGTATAGTCTCTTCACTCATTGCTAATTTAAGTTCTTTTCTGCTTGGTATCGTAAATATATGTTTAATTTTATCGACATTTACGTTTTTATTCCTGTGAGTAGTTGTCGTAGGGGCCCCAGCGCACTGCTTTGCCCGGGGCCCCTCATGCTGTTCAGACGGCCCTGCTCTGTCCCCGTTTATTCTGCAGGGCACTAGAATAAAACTGGTTTTGGCTCCAAGTCTCCTCTCAGGCTCCTTCTGGCTCGGGGTCTGGGGTCCACCCGGGTTGCTCCTAATGAGTACGGTAACGGTGAGAAGCTGCACCCATGACACACCCAGCACTTCTGCCGCCAAACCGCGGCACCCCCGCCGCCTCAGCAGTACCTTCTTCGCCGAGCTGCGAATCCTGGGAAGCATGTATATTTCCTCCAGCTCCTTCTGGCGCTCCTCCTCCTCCACTCGCTTCCTCTGCTCCTCGGGGATGATGTCATCCCAGTCCCGCTGGGACTTCTCCTCCAGCTCAGCTTCCTCCTCTTCCATGGTTGTGAAGTTCGCCACCTGCGACAAAAGGCCTCCGTTGCCGCCTTCTCCGCAGCACATCCAAGACGCAACGCCCCGGCTGCCCACGCTGCAGCCTCCCTGCCACCGCCACACTCACCCAGCTTGGACTGCCGGGCTGCGTCTTCTCCAACGCCCCGGGCAAAACCAGAATCCGAGTCTGGGCCACCAGGCTCAAGCCCAACAAGCCCACCACCAGCTGGACCGTGAGGGGGTTGTGGCTCCCCCAGCGGCTGCTGCCATTCAGACTTGCTAGGCAGGATTTGAAATGAGTGGGGTGGGAGCATTTCTCCCCTCCCAAAATGGGAACCTGGCCACCCGTCCTATGCTGCAAGCTGCCGGGGGAAGACAAAGAGTAGCGACTGAGGGATTTGGGGAGCGGGCCAAGTTTAAGTGGCCCTGGGCCCCGTTTCCCAGGCAGAACATGCCATGCACAGAATCGAGCGTCTGCACGTCGGCAGAGCCAGGGGCAGGAGCGCCCCGAGCCACTGTGCGGACAGGGCAGCTTTACAGGTGTGCTGGCCCGACTCCCAGCGTGACAGTGGCGATGCTCGCTGCAGGTGGCGGAAGCTGCCTCTTGCACTGACCATGCAGTGGGGTGGGCGGGTGGCCAGGCTTGGAATACAGCAGCATTGTCTCGTCCTGCCTGCAGAGATCTGAAATGCTTCCACCCTACGAACCATCATCCTACGAACTGCCATGCCGGGTCAGACCAAACTGCCCGCCTGCAGTCCGGCATTCTGACTCGGAAGGGCTGTAAGCTCGGTGCCCAAGTCCCCGCCAAGGCGTAGACGGTTCGAGCCATGCTGCGGAATATCCTGTGATCCTGCCATTCCAGGTCCACGGATCCCCTTGCTTCCTGGCTGGTGGACGCATTGGGCATCCGTGCAACATTCTGGGATGGTCACGAGCACTCTCGCAAGGCTGCCACAAGACAGCCTTCCTGGTCACAAAATGACAGCCAGGATGGGTGCGGCCAGTGTCAAAGCCCTGAGAAGACCAACTCAGGAAGACTCAAAAGGAAAAGGACTTGCCCAAGAAACTAAGTTTCTTAGTTTCCAAGTTTCCACACACACACAGGGCACCCCCTGCACCAAGACAATGACACAAACCACGCGAGGACAGCAGGGGGGCTTGTGGCCACCAAGGAAAAACCCACGGGCACAGTGCTGCAGCCGCCAGCACCACAGGCCGGGAGAGCAATATCCACGATGGCTAACGGCCTTGGGGAAAGCTTCCTCCCCTGGGCCTTCCCCCCCCCCGAAACTTGCACAGCTCCGCTCCCTTCCCTCCCGTGCCCCGACCTTGAACTGCGAGAGGAGCTCATCCGTCGCACTCGAGGACGCTTCGTTCTCCCGCGTTTCAGCCAGGCGCAAGATCTCCTCGATGTCCATTTCCTGACAGCATGGAAAAGGTGGAGGGTCCGAGAGAAACACGGCCAAAAATGGAAGAAGAGGACAATCCGAGTCATTCTCACCCAAAACAAGGTTTCTTTCGAGCCCCGTAAGGCACAGTGTGGAACCCACGTATTTGTGCGCCAGGCTGGGGTGCCATTTTGCAGAAGGGCTCTGGGGCTGCACTCCAGAGGTGGCAGAGTGGAAGGCAGAGCAAGGTGAGACATGGAGCATCTCCTGCCGGTGACCAGGCCGTTTAGAGACAGCGCAATATCTGGCAACCTACCAGGAGGGCAATCATCCGGACTGGCCATCAGGAGGAGGGGTCGTGGCTACCTGAGGAGCCCTGGTTCTGCCCCCTGAAGCATGAGGAGCGGAAACACCTGACCTCAGTGGAGCTTCACGTCATGACCATCCTTTCTGGAATCCAGCTCCTCTCCACTTGCAGACTTTCTCTTGTGCTCAGACCAGGCTAAGCCAGCAAGCCAAGCCAAGAGGAAGTCCACGAACTCTCATGGGACGAAAGCTGTGCAACCGGCAACTTTCTTCCACAGCACACACGGCATCACGAACAAAGGTTGCAAAGAGGGCACCCCCTTGCGCGGCATGTGCCGGGGCTCAAGTCCTGCCTTGAACGAACGCTGGGTGTGCTCCCCAGCAACTCAGACGTGCAGCTGCAATGAAGTAGGCCAAAGACCAAAGAATCCACAGGGTTCCCATCCCTTGAATGGATTCCTCACAGATCCCCAGTGGAGCAAGGGATATTCCATCTCAGAAGCATGGTAAAGGCAGTGGAATCAGCAAGAACCATGGGATGCAGCCACATTGAAGCATGCTGGTCCTCCTTAATCACTGAAGCACCTTATTCATTGTGGGATACCAGGTTGGGAATTAGAGTTTTCTTCAGCTAACCTGAATGTACAACAACTGAAAAGGCCCAGCCCGTTCCCCATGAAGCATCAGGCTTAAATGCTATCGACCAAGGTCGTTAGTGCCACCCCACCTGGGGCTCTGATTCCTCCCCTTCTGCTTCCTTGAAGAGGTCCTCTGCTCCGAACTTCAAGATGGCTGTCAGCTCCTCTTTGTTGAAAGGGTTTGAGCTGTGGAGGTACAAAAAGGCACAGGGTCTCACTCAGGAAGGATCCCACTAAACCACGGTGGAAAAGCACCTGAACGGCTCCTTCCCCTTGCTCCTGACACAGGACTCCCAACAGTTTTGGTTCCTCTGATGCAATGAAGCCCACCCAGTTTCCAGCCCTGCAGCCTGTGCTGAAACGAGGCATTACGGAGCTGCATTCAATGTCACTGACATTTTTCACTTTGATTTTTAAAAAATATTTGGATGTTTTCTTGAGTAAGATCACATATTGCACAAAACCATGAACTTAAAATAGAAATGAAGGATGTACTTTCATTTCATCAAGCATTCCAAATATCTGTTGGGACCAAGCTAATTTAAATTATCAAATGGAAAAATTCCAAAATGGAATCAATTTAAATAATTTTAAACATTAAGAAATAGATTTAAATAAAATCTCATTTTCCCTTAAAAGTCTCCATCAAGTTACCTTTTTTGCTTTCTGTCTTTCCTTATCCTACCCTCTACTTAGTTATTTAAGGTAGGAATTGTGCCGACCTCTTAATATATACACTATACTGATTTTATTTCTTCTGTGTAAGCAGAGATGTAGCCAAAACTACACTACCAAGAGAGAGAAGACTGTAGCCTCAGTGTAACCTAATCTTTCAAGGTATGCAAAGCATTGTCTGGAAAAAAAGTTAAGGGTGTACAACCCCCAATTCACAGAAAGCCCTGCAAGAACTCAGGAATTCATGGAACAACTAACTGAATAGGGAAAAAACTGCCAGGTTGGTGGGAGGAGGGATTAGAAGGGAGTAGCCAGAAAAGGAGGACATAGATTTACATAAAGGGTAGAAAGAACCACTTCATTCTAGATAAGTCACTTCCTTGTCCATACTGAGAAGCTTTTTTTTTTTTTTTTTTAATGCTACCAGTGGTGGAAGAGAGATATCAGCAGAGAAAGTTTTTTAAAAATGACATAGCTGGGACTGGGAATGAACGTGCCCAGACACATCCCTAGCAAACACACAGCTCAGCTAGCAGCAGCAAGAAAGGGGAACAGAGAAGGTGACGGCTGATCACAAAATGAAGGAAATAATGCTAAAATCAATTATCAGCATCACAATCTTTTCTAGGCCAGCTTAAAGGTCAAGAAATGCTGTGCAACCCCCTTCGAGTGCTCCAGAACTCTTCATTAAGCAAGATGGAAAAGAAAACAAGCAGGGAGGGCAGCTAGTTGGCTGATGTTCAAGCCATGGAACTTGTATTTGGTTACAGTCTTCGGATGGAAAATAGGAGAAGGCCACAGACATTAAAATTAGGCTGTAGCAGGTACAGAGATCGTTTCAACTTACTCCTGCAACCTTCCCAAGGGCTGCCAGGAAGAAGAAACTAAGAAACATAGATCTCCGATTCCTTGGTCAATGGAAACAGCAGGAGGCTGTTTTTATATTGACAAAGCAAGCTGGGATTAATTCCAGATGATGCACCCTAACCCTGAGCAAAAAGGCTGGTAGAAGCCACGTTTGGTGGTTTCAACCAATCCAATAATGAAAATAATGTTCTGCAGCAGAGAAATTCAGTGGTATCGGCCAGAGGAGCCTTGCTCCGTGATCGACCCATTGTGGATTCCCAGGATGACAGGGCAGAGGACCGTTACTCCTTCGGCTGCTCTGAGGGCAAGGAGGGTCCCAGCAAGCTGGACGTGACACGGGCTCGCATGCATTAGTTATCCACCCTGTGATGCTCCATCCAGACCTTTTCCAGTACAGAAAGCAGATTTGGGAGAATGAAAGGAGGTGGGATAAGAATAAATGAGCTTTGTGTGACCCACAGTTAACAAGCTAGCCTGACTTTGAATACAGTACTCAAGGGAACAGAGGAAACTGGTGGCAGCCGCCATGAAAGTTGCAAATGTGCAGGTAGGAAGAACACGGCAAGCCCTTGTGAAGCTCGAGCTGATAAGAAATAGATAAGGAAATGGAAATGCCAGTCCTTGACAGAAGAAAGGACTCTTGGAAGCAGGGGAGGCGGTGCACAGATTGGTGTATTGATGCATTAGAGGCGTATTAGGTGACCTAAATGCTCATGTGGGGTATAAAACGCACGTACTGGGGCGCAACACTGCTTTGGGGAGCGTATCCTCTTTCATCTCCCTTTATTCTGTAGTGCACTAGAATGAAGCTGAATGGCGCCCAGTCTCGTCTCGGTCTCCTCTTGACTCGGGCTCTGGGGTCCACCCGGGTTCGCCCTAAGTGGTTGACCGGTTGAGTTCAGCAACAACGGTATGGCAAACGCACAACTACGGGAATGCACTACGGGATCTCAGCACTGTGCAGGGAGGGGAGGCCTTAGACTCTCAGAACGGGGGTTAGCACAACCTAGCTTAATGCAGGAAATTTAGCGTCAGAGCACCCGCCCCCTCCGAGGTGGCTGTCCCGTCTCTGCTTGGAGATCTCTAGAAGGGCAGAACTCACCCCTGTTCTGGGCCATTTCTGCCCAGGCTGAGCACTTCTTGCTGTTCAGAAGTTTCTCCTAAAGCTCAGCTTACCCATAAGACTATCGGAAGCTGCTTTGTGCTGAGTTGGACCGTTAGTCCACCAGGCACAGTACCATCAGCTCCGATGGGGAGCAATGCCTCTCCGGGGTTCAGGCATATATTCTTCCTGGATCCACTTGGGGACACCCGGGATCGGAGCTGGAGACTCTGCTCACCCGGAAAGGGGCAGGCCTGGTCCCGCTCTGAGCCTTCCAACCTGGGCCACCGCGAGAGCGATGCATAAATCAGTGGGCGGAACTCTCGCTGCTTAAGTCATGTGATCGTTGACAGAACCAGGCCTGAGAACAGCCCTCTTTTCTAGGAACCAGCACGTGGGCATCCTCACGACGGAGCTCACACTGGCCAGGCACCAGTCCAGAGAAAGCTGGTTGGCACTGGCCGGGTAGCAGCAGCTCAAACAAAGGGTAGCCCACACCAGCGCCCCCACCCTCCTCCTCCATGGAAGGGCACCGCATCCTTCCCATTCCTTCGGAGCATCTTCTTTAGTATGCATGTGGGAAAGATGCAACTTCTTGCTTCTGTAACTTATTGGAAAGCGTTCGCTGCATTATGTGTAACGCTTTAATGATCAATGCGTGAATGGGCCAGCTGAGGCGGCGCACTGGCTGGAATGATTCATTGGTAGCCGCTTAGTCTCGAGAATGAATCCTTTGAAAGAAAACCTTCCCCTGTCGTGCATTCTGGGCATGGGCACACCAGGATACCTTTTGGTCAACAAGAGGAGCGCAAGATGGGCTGTCAAAGCCCTTCCACCAAGAAGAAAGTTGCCTCTTCGGACAGTGGCACCCAGTCCCTGTGATCCCTCAGCAGGAAGGGGGCTCAGCAAGCTTGTTTGCTTGCTTGTTCATTTTATAACCCACCTTTCTGCTGCAAGTAGCATTCAAGGCAGCGAACAATGCCAGAATACCAAAATATGCTTTGAACACAGAAGCAAATCAGTTAAGAAGCACATCACTAAAGAACAAACAAGCAGCACCCACCAGCGAAGGCCTGGTACATTTACCCTGAGGTGCTTGGCAGTCCTTATCTATCCGTCTCCTACAGTGGCGGGGGGACAAGAGAGCCCCGAAGGCTCAGGGGCTGCCTCGAGACCAGGAGGAAGGAGGCTTTTCTGTTCCATGCTGCACTGCGTCTGCATAGCTTGCCAACTGCAACGAGCAGGGGGAGAGCCCCCGTCTGGTACCAGCCTCCATGGATGAGGAAAGCGTCCACCAAAGGAAGACTGCTACCATAAGTCTGCAGAAGGTCCCAGCTCATCTCCAGCCACTCCGTTTCCCTCCTCAGCCCCTTACTTCGATCTGCCAGAGCTGTTGTCCAGAACGGTTCGGCCTGTAGTGTCCATACGTTGTATCACGAGATGGTCCAGCACCATCTTCTTCTTGGCTCGTTCAATGATCTCCTCTTCCACTGTCCCCTTCGTAACCAAGCGGTAGATGTTCACCTGTAGGGGGAGGAACAATATGGAGCTGCCTTATTCCCAGAGTGAAGTCATGGACTCCAAGACCCTACAAAGGAGGTCTGCTTTCCCATCTCTGATGCCTGAGAACTTTGGAAGTGGAGATGGTCAGGGACTCAGCCCTCTGAGTCATGGCCCCAAAGCTATGGAGCCCTTAGAAGATGCCACACACGCATCCAAGTCTTATCTCTGTACAAATGATGTGCCCAACATGGCAACTTGTCTGTTGTTCCTCTCCTGCAGAAGCTCGATGGAGGCTCAGAGACCTTAAGGCCGAACCTCAGCCCGAGGCCCACCTGGGCTCCCAGTCCTGACCTCAAGGACGCCTATGATGGCGACACTCCTTTCCTGGGTCCCACCCCATGCTCCCGCACTACTGATCATGTGTTTGTTTCTCAGCTTTTATCCCGTTTGTTCTTCCATCCTAAAAGGCTTAGTGACCAAAAGCAGGAGATTCAGCTAGAAAGAGATGGTGGCTCCCCAACCACCTGGGGGAGTATGACCTGCGGGAGCATCTCCCAAGATGACTCTCCTGGGGCTGAAAAAGCTTCCTCCCCCTGCCTTAAGGCCAGGCAGCTTTCGTAGCTTAGCACATCCTCCCAGTCAGTGACCCACTGTAGAGTAAAATCCAAAACTCCACCAAGGACACAGAATTCTATCTACTCCTGAAAAGCAGTGGAGGAATGCAGGATGGCACCCTGGTGGCATCCAACTGGCGCCCGTGATGAATGCACCAAGAGGGAAATGGGTTGCCAGAGAGCTACGGGGGCAGGCGTGGTCCCTTCTCTCTCCCCTTAGCCCAAGGCCTATCCCTACAGCTTCCCAACTCTTCCTAGGGTCCCAAGAGGCTCCTCCATCAGACATGGTGAACGTTTGCACAACTGGGGGTGTCTGCAGGAACACTGAGTGGATCCAAAGCAGCCCACCTGCGGCCCCCAGCCCAGCCAGCACCCAGGTGTTCTCCTGACCTGCTTCTTCTGCCCGATCCGGTGAGCGCGCGCCTGGGCCTGCAAGTCGTTCTGGGGGTTCCAGTCCGAGTCGAAGATCACCACCGTGTCAGCAGAGGCCAGGTTGATCCCCAACCCTCCAGCTCGTGTGGACAGCAGGAAGCAGAAGTCCTGGGCACACAACCAGAGGGCCACACGTTAAGCAGATGTGCTTGACCCAAGCAGTTGCTCTGACCAAGGGGCGTGCCTCCCACGAGCCAAGTCAAACACTGGTACTTCACGCTATATCTAGGCAGATCTCAAAGAGAAACCGCCAAAGCCACAACACCCATTGCAACAGGCCAGGATGGCAAACCGAAGTAGCAAAGTTGCAGGGAAAGGCAGATGCAGCGCAAGGCTCTGAGCAAGCCCATGGCAGGGGCAAGATCCGGAAGCGGACGCTTCTCAGTTCACAGCACGTTTCTTTAACTGTGCAGCCACCTAGGACCATCCGCAACACGGCTTCAGGGCCGGCCCTCCCGTTCGGCAGAGCATTAGAGTGAGGCAGCCCTCCAGCAGGTGGACTGGAAAAGTTAGCAAACGAGTCCCAGTCCCTGGGAACAGGCGGGATATACACAGATACGGTGGGTCACTGCCGCTGTGTCTCTAATGCCAGGGGCAGCCCGAGCAGGGGCACTCGTGGAATTTCCTGCCTCAGGTGCCAAAATGACCTGGCCGGCCTTCTGCACTTGGTACATCTCACCTTGGACTGATTCGCTGATTTGTAAACCAGCATTATTAATACCAGTCGCTGCGCAAAGGGCCAAAGGTGAGCCGCCCCCTTCAAGTGTGCCCCTGCCCCTTGGCACATTCTCTCCAGCGGAGATGCGGTCCAGGCCGCTGCCTTTGGCCCAGGCCTCCTTGGGAAGACAGCTTCTTGAAAGACACAATGCGAAGCAGAGGAATGCAGCCAGAGCCAGAGGTTTCCAGCTTGCCATTCCCACCCATCCTAGCCGCCAGTCAGCCGTGAGAGATGCCGGGAGCTGCAGGCTGACACATCTGGCAGGTCACATTTATTTATTTATTATTTGTTTAAAACATTTTTATGCCGTCCCCATCGCAACAAAGCCTCGGGGCGGCTCACAACAAAATTTGCCCACCCCAGCCACAAAACGTGGTCAGGGAACTGACACCGGAAGGTCGCATCCACCCCACGGAGCACTTCGAGGTTCAGAAGGACAACACCCACCCTTGGCTTTTAAACCTGAAGTTTTCTTGTTTGGCATCATACCGGAAGATATTAACAGACAGGAAATGTATTTGATGTTACACTTAATCACAGCGGCGAGGATTGCATTTGCTCAGTACTGGAAAAGTGAGGAACTACCCACCGATGAACTGATTTTAAGAAAGATTCTGGACTGTGCAGAAATGGATAGATTGACTTTATCATTGAAGGAGAAAGAAGACACTGACTTCTATCAAACTTGGGATTTTTTCTATAATTGGCTGGAGAAACGGGACCTGGCGTAAATGTAGACATGTTTTCAAGTTATTATAAACTGATTTGAATATGATTATAGAATGTTAAAAAATATGTAGTAGAGGGTTGACCCAGTAAATCTGATGTATGTGAGAATTGATGTTTTTAGTATTAGTTTAAAACTTTAATAAAAAATTCTAAAAAAAAAAAAAAAAGGACAACACCCCACCGTGGCTTAATGTTCTTCCGGTGGTCGTTGGGCAGCCTCTCTCCATTCCAAAAGGTGGAAATGGCTTTCATAAGGCTTAATTATTTGTAAGACTTAATCATTAGCAACCAGAACCCCAGGCAACAACAGGCCGGTATGTGGGGCACGGCCCATGTTCCTCTGCCTTTCTGTTTTCTCTCTCATGCTCATTTAATGGATCGTTTGTTGATGGAACGCCCCACTGCAATCCAGGACACACTTCCATGTAAACACAGGGGGGCTTAGCTCCGAATGCACGTCCCTGAGGGCGCACTGGGAAGTGTCTTGGACTCCCACTGGCAACCAAACAGCAGAGGCCTTGCAGAAGCCGTGCCCGCTGCCCGTGTCTTTCTTCTCCCAGCCTTCCCTTCCCGATGCAGGCAAGGCCAGCCCTGTTCGGGTGACAGCCAAGAAGGAGATCGTGTTTCTCTAGCTGGGTTACAACAGGAGCCGGGACTGGAAGGAGGGAGCAGGTCTCACCCCGGAGGTTTTTACCAGAAGCCCCAAACTTTCAGGCCCCCACACACTTGCAAAGAGAGTCTCCGGCTGCCAGGCAAGCGCACTCTGGCACCCAAGCCCCACGGCTTCCCCTCGGCCACGCCACCACGGCCCCCCGCCCTGTCTTCCCCCACACGGGCCACGCGGTACCTCCGAGCCTTCTGCGTTGAAGTGATCCAGTGCTTGCTTCCGGATCTCGCCTTTGATGGAGCCGTCCAAGCGCTGCAGAGAGAAAGGGCAGCTGAGCAGGAGGGCTCTTGCAGAATCATGGCCCCCCCGGCCGGGGAGGGGGCTGCTGCGCCTCCGGAAAGTCAGCCCCCGCCCCAGTGTTGCTCCCTCCGGCTAGGAGCAAAGTGGCACTTTAAAAATAACAGCAATTAAAAATAACCGTGCCGCTGCAGGGGAAGGCGCTCTGGCTGCCTCAGCCAGCACCAGGTGACTGCAGCTCCTGTTACAGGCTCTGGGCCAGGGGAACATGGGGCCGAGCAGAGCGAGGGGCAAGGTGAGCCCAGTGGCTGGGCAGGACTTCAGTCCTGCAGGGCCAGGTCCAACCCCCGCATCCTCAGGTCGGGCTCTGATGCAGCGAGGCAAAGCGGGGGAACCCAGCTGGGCTTCTGCCATGCAAGAGAGGTGGCTGGGCAGGAGGAACCGGAACTCCCGGTGGGTACTGAGGCAGTTTCCTGCATCCACCGAGGCCAGGCCGAGGGCAGCGGACCCCCTCCACACATCCGCGGTGCCTTTCAAGGGCCGCCTCTTCTGCAAACCTCCCCACTCAGTGTAGCCTCCGAGAAGTCAGTGACCCCACCCCGTTCTGAGCGTCCCTGGCCGCGCACGTGTTCCTCACCGTGAGGCTCTGCTTGTCCATCCGGGGCTCGGAGGGGCACAAGCACGGGGCAGATGGTCTCCCACCCAGACAGGCCCACACCGAGCCCCTAAAGGTCATGCCGAGCTCCCCGCGCCACCTCCAGCCAAGCTCCACCCACCGTGCCCATCCTCACCTGGAAAGGGTAGTGCTTGATGGCCAGGTACTCTGCCAAGATGTCCAGCATCCTCACCATCTGGGAGAAGATGAGGACTCGGTTGCCCCTCTCCCGCAGCCTAGTCAGCAGTTTGTCCAGGAGGATTAGCTTCCCGCTGCTCCTGATTAACGACTGAAGAGAACACAGGCGGCATTGGCACGGAGCGCTTCCAACGTCGATGCAGCGGAGCAGCCGAGAGGCTGGGCTACCCGTTGGAAGTCCCCCCTTTGAATCTCAGCTCTGTGAGGAGCTGAGGAAGGAATGCTTGGCCAGCTGCTCTCCCTCTCATTCTTGTGGCCTCAGTTGCCCATCCCCATCTGTGAAACGGGCATAATGCCACAGGGCCGGGTGGCACTCAGCCGGAGAACGTGCAGCGCTTGCAACACTTAAAAGCACTGTACAAATGCATCACCATCAGCTTCACTGTCAGCCATTTCTCCGCCTCGTGCCAATCCTTCTCTGGAGGAGTGACCACGTGCCACGCTGAAATCACGTGGTTCACGACTCAGTGGCAGCACTGGTTCAACCCCTCTTCTCCGGTGAAAGCAGCGCTGATCTTATCAGCTCTGGGATGTTTGGCCACTTGTTTTTCGATCCATGCATTGTTTTGCAGGCCAAGCCTGAGGAAGGAATCAAAACCAGCAACAGCTGGAAAGGGCAGCGCCACTCATTGCCTCTGTATTTGAATAAGCTGGCCGCATCACCACCGCCTCGTCTATTCCTGTCCCTGCGAGCTAACACAGTGGCCACCACTGTACGCAACAGATGTTGTGGCAACCCACCAGGGAGCCGTGTGGCTAATAGAACTGGTTAGAATGCCAATACATGCATGCATGCATAAATACTCATAAATAAATTGCCACACTGGAGGAAGTGTCCATTTATCGCAGCATCCGATTTTGCCCAACAGCTGGCCAGATGCCTCTGGGAAGCTGAGACACTGTGCTCCGCCCAGCTCCCCATCTGCTATTCCCAGATGTTTCATCTCTCACTAGGGAACTTCCGGCCGCAGAAATAGCCATGGACTGGTCCCCCAACCACAAAGCCATTAAGAATGCGATGCTGAGCGTGCTGAGCTAAGAAAAGGGGCTTGAATTCCCAGCATTTCCCAGCTAGTCATGCTGGCCAAGGAAGGCTGGGAATTCAAGGGCCGTTTCCTGGCTAAACACGGCTAGGATTGCCCTCGTTGTTCCAAACCATCAAAATGGGTGGTTTTGCAAGCTCCTCCAGTCAGCGGGCACCTCCGGAACCTCAATTGTTTTGGAGCACTTTGCCAAAGCAGCTGCCACAAGGATGGGGTTTGCCCAGGGCTGGTGCGGCCGGCCAAGCACATGACGCTGATGTCTCCGAAGGCAAGCTGGGGAGACGCAGATGGAAATAACCTGCCCAAGGGCCTAAGTGCATGGTAGAAGTAGGAAATGAGTCCTGAAACAGGACTCTTTTATTTAACTCGGATGAAGACGGGGCTGGAGGAAAGCCCTCTGCCTCTGCAGTGTGACAAGCTACCAGGTGTGTGTGTGTGTGTGTGTGTGTGTGTGTGTGTGTGTGTGTGTGTGTAAACTAAGAAGAAAACTAAAATTCAGGAGATGCATGCAGTGCCGTGGCTTCCCGTGGTACCCAGGCCCTTGACATGGAGACCCCGGGCTATGGACACATCGGATGCCAGGGACCGTCACTTCCTTAACCCGCAACTCGCTGGTCAGTCAACTATTAAGCTCGCTGGGTTTGAAATGGCGCAGAGAAAGGCCTTCCTTGCAGGATCGCCACTCTGGGCTCCCTTCACGAGGCCCATCCGACCCAGTGCCACCTCAGAACCACACACAAGCGTCCGATCCACACCCGAGCACCCACCAAGAGCATCTCCTGGCTGTTCTCCTTCTCGTTCTCCTCGGGGGCCTTGATCAGGAAGCAGTGATTGCAGCATTTCTTCAGCTCCATCACGATGTTCAGGAAGCCGGACGTGCTCCCTCGGACCCCCTTGGAGAGGGCTTTGTAGTTCCTGGTTAAAATCCACCTGCAGCCACACGGAAAGGAAAGGATGCTCTGTTGAGATCTGCCGCAAGGCTTCCGGGTGGGGAGAGAATCAGAACCGCAGGGCAGAAATGGCAGCAAGTTTGCAGAGGTTCAACATGGGGCAACTGGGAAGGCGATTCGGGCTTTCGATCCACCTGTTGCCGGAGGCCACCTTAACCTGGCGTGCTCTCCAAGCAGCCCAGTGCAAGATCACTCCAGGCTGCCTGTAAGGTGTCTCCTGGATTTCCAACTCGAGACACTTAGTTTTACCTAAACTGGGAGGCAACACGGGGCCCTTTCCGTGCAGGAAGCAACCGCGAGGAAAGGGCATCTGGTTAGCAGGGTGGAGGGCAGAAGGGTGAAGCAAGCCAAGAGCAGTCCGTTTCACTGGGGGTGGGGTGTTCGTGGGCACACGCGTGTGCACAACCGCAGCCCTGCACCAGCCATGCCCCCTGGCCAAGGGCTGGAATGGCTGCTTACCGCTAGGATAGGGAGGGTGTGAGGAGCAAGCACGCCCTTCTCCGGAGGGCCCTGAGCAGGGGGACTTCTCGCTCGCACATCCTCTGGATGAGAATGAGTGGCTCAGAGAGCTAGCTGCAAGCAGAGCTGTGGCTGGGGACATCCCGAGGGTGAGAGCGAGCACATCCCTCCCGGCAGATGCGGGGGAAGTCAACGTCATTCCGTCTTTGCAGAGGGAAAGACAGACTGCTCCAGACGGCATGCTGAAACAGGGAAAATTCCAAGACTTCCCTTGGCCAAAAGCGAAGCCAGAGTGAGTCCCACGCCAGGTGGCCTTTTTCAATGGGGAAGAACCCAGGCCCTGTGGCCCCCAGTTCCCATTGCACACCGATCGATCCACGCTTTCTGGGCACAACGTCGTATCCCTGCAGGGCACCTACTTATAATATTGCTTCTGGAGGGCAGACATCTCCACCCGGAGAATCTGTTCCACTTTGGCCGGCAGGGACTTCTCCACGTCTTTCTTCACCCTACGCAGCAGGAAGGGCTCCAGGACCTTGTGCAGGCTCTGGTAGCCGTTCTCCCGCCCTTTCCCGTGGTCCTCTTCAAATTCCTCCCAGGACTCAAACCTGGTGGTCGAAAAGAGGTACGGTGAGATGCATGGGCGGTAAACATTCCAACCTCCCTTTCCTCCTAAAATACTGAAATGCTTGATGAATATTTCGCAGGTTTGGAAAAGAGGCGTTTGGTGTAGCTCGCTTTTGGCAAGAATGCAGAGTGGTTGCAAGGTGGGGAAGTGCGGGGGGGGGGAGGTTTGGGAGACATCAGGGAAAAGGTGATGAGCTAGCTAGCTTTACACACTGTGTGTGCTCACTTTCTTCCTCACATTTGCACGCACACGCACACACACCCTGCCCAAGGAACCTCATAATGCAAGCTACAAAGAGCTGAATGCCACAACCTTTCGTGCATTGGCGTCTATGGTGTCCTTCTCCGACCTTTTATTCTTCAGCACAGCACTGGCAGAGGCCAGGAGCTCTAGGAAGAGCAAGAAATCTTGCAAGATGTGCAAATCTGGCCCTTCAAAGCTGCTTGGCACTCCGCCCATGCCCAGCGCCTACATATCAGGGTGTGGGCCACTCATCCGCCATCGTCTGTGTACTCCGAAAGCTTTGCTCTCGGTCTCAGGTTCAACGATCCATTTTTCTAGCTAAGAAAGGGACTGAACATTCAAGTGACTGCACTGAATTATCCAACACTGCAGTTCCCTGGCACAAGAAAGGTCAGGGGGATCTACCGCGTATGAAAATGGATTTCCATGACTGTGGCTTGCAAATTCTACAACAGACCGGCCTTTTCTGACTTGCATGGATTCCACACCCCATTTGGTTTACTCCTTGGAGAGGTGTGTGCTAAAGCAGATTAGTGCAAGCACACATTCACTTAAAAGCACATTTATAAACAAACATGCAAAGTGCAATGCCATCATGACAATGGAACAAAAGACATTTGACAAGCTGCTAAAGACACATGGAACAAATTAAATAAAATCCGCACACCCCTACATGGCTCCCTCTCACAACGTGCGTGACCCAGCATCTCCCTAATGTTTGCACGCCTGTTGGTGCAAAACCTGTGTGCTTCATCCCATCAGCCCTGCATTTGCGCTACAGGAGGAGCAGCTGGTCCTACGGCCAAATGTCAGTTTCCAAAACAGGAAGGAGGCTTACTTCTCCGGCATAATAAAATGCAGCAGGGACCAGAGCTCTTTGAGGGAATTCTGCAGCGGAGTCCCGGTGATGAGCAGCCGGTGGTTAGACTTGAAGTCAATCAACGTCTTGTACAACAAGGAGTCGTCGTTCTTCAAGCGATGTGCTTCGTCCACACCCAGGAAGGCCCAGTTAATGCTTCCCAGAACCGTCTGCAAGAAGAAGCAAAATGTCAGCACTCAGCCTTGCCATCCGTGGAGATTCACAGCCTTTCTACAACTAGCCCCAGGAACTTTCTATTTTTGCCGAGGAAGCTCTGCACACCAGCTGCAAAACATCACTGCGATGCAAAATATTCCAGAAAGGATTTTAAGATGTGCAGTCCAGGCTGTTGTTCCCACTCAGCCAGAGTTTCCCTGGGTGACCTTGAGCCAGTCGCCAATTCTCAGCCTAACCTACCTTGCAGGGATGTTGTGAGGATAAAAAGGAAAATAAGGAGGAGAGGAGGAGGAAAATAATGGACTGGGTTCCTTGCAAAGTTAAAAGCCAGGAGTTGAATAAATTAAAGGGAGGAAATGCTGCAGCGATGGATCACATTTAATAAGGAAGCACATTGCCTTTGCAACAGTTACTTGGTCCCAAATATTTCTGCCAGGAGCTGCGCAGATACAGTACCAAACGGACACGGTCATGGCAGACTAGGGTGGACAATCCAGAAAAAAATCTTTCCCACTCCGTTGGGAGAGGCGCATCCCTGCCCTGGCCTAGTGTTCTGACAAAGCTCCATGAGTCAGTCCATCCCGCCAGCATTCGTGGCCTCCCTCTCGGGCTTGGCCTGGCTGCAGAAAACGAGCCGAGCTGAGAGGAAGCCTGCGAGTCCTCATGGCAGGAAGGCTGCCCCGCTGGGGACCTTCTTCCACGTCACACGCAGCAGAGGATGTGCAGGACCCAGTTCCTGGTGAGCGACAGGACGGGTGCTCTTGCCAGGGACTCGGACGCAGGGTTGCAACGAGGCGAGCAGAAACTGGGGAGCCCAACCTGGGGAACGCGTCAGATGGTCACCCCAGCGTGGATTCATGGAAGAGTCGGAAGGGGCCATGAAGCCATCGAGTCCACCCCCTGCTGCTGCAGGACACCAAGTCACACCATCCACTCAGGTGGCTGTCCAGTTTCTTCTGAATGTCTCCAGGGTGGGAGAGCCCCCCCACCTCTCCAGGCAGCTGGTTCCACTGCCGTATTGCTCTGACAGTGAGGAAGCTTTTCCTGATGTCCAGCCTGAACCTGGGTTGTCGCAACTTGAAATGATTCTTCCATGTCCTGCACTCTGGAATCAGTGAGAAGAGACCTTGGACTTCCTCTTTGTGGCAGCCTTTGAGGGACTTCTAGAGGGACAGCATGTCCTCCCTCAGTCTCCTCTTCTCGCGGCTGAACATGCCCAGTTCTCTCAGCCTCTCCTCACAGGGCAGTGTTTCCAAACCCTGGATCATTTCTGTTGCCCTCCGCTGGACCCTTTCTCATTAGCTGCATCTTGCTTAAATCTTGGTGCCCAGAACTGGGCACAGGATTCCAGGTGAGGTCTGCCTAGTGAGGCGCGCAGGGGAACCGCTCCTTCTCGTGATTTGGAAGCCATACTTCTGCTCATGCGCCCCAAACTCGGCTTTGCCCTCCGCATCCCTCCCATGCCGCCACACGCACCTTGTCCTTCAAGAGGATCTCATATGTGGTGATGAGTACATTGAACTTCAGCCGCTTGGTCTGCGCATGGACCCACTCGTACTCACGGATCTGATGGAGAGAGAGAGAGCTGCACGTCAGAGTTCCCCAGCGGTGTGTAAGGAAAGCAAGACGCTACTCTCTTGGCACGTGGCCGAGGATGATGGCCACTGTAGTCCAATACATCAGGGTGGCACCAGGCTGGGGAAGGCTGGTACACATGAACTGAGGTTTCAAGCTGCCTGGGCAGGTGTACGACCCATCTGGGGTTTGGGCTGGCTGGGGGTTGACTTAAGCACCAATTATCTGCTCCACTGCAAAGAGACTGAATCAGTCAGTCCTGGAGGAGATCAGCCCTGACTGCTCTTTGGAAGGTCAGGTACTAAAGCTGCAGCTCAGATACTTTGGCCACCTCATGAGAAGGAAGGACTCCCTGGAGAAGAGCCTGATGCTGGGAACGATTGATGGCAAAAGGAGAAGGGGCGACAGAGGATGAGGTGGCTGGATGGGGTCACTGGGGCGGTGGGGGTGGGCTTGGGGGGACTCCAAGGGATGGAGGAGGACAGGAGGGGCTGGGGGAATGTTGTCCGTGGGGTCGCGAGGGGTCGGGCATGACTTTGTGGCTGAACATAACATAAATCTGCTCCATTGACTTGGATCCAGATGCAAGTTGGATCAAATGTGCAACAGAAGAGCCCCCCCCCCTTTCCCACAGCAGCCCCTCCAGCCCCCAAATCATGGCTGTTAGGTCACCCTGAGTGGGATGAGCTTGATCGCAGGGGAATGCAGAGAACCCAAAAGTCCTCTCCTCTTGTGGGAAGCAGATCCCAGAGCAAAACCCTCTTATAACATGACTGATGCATTGCTCAAGTAACCAGATGTGGTACAGGGCCCCTGCCCAAGGATCCCAGCCTCCCTCGCTAAGTATTTTGCCTCCCCTTTGCACATAAAAATGCACCCTGTGCACTTAAAGTTTCTTTGCTTTTTGTTCAGCTTTTTGAAGGAGAAGAGCTTTAAAGCTTCTAGTCCTCAGGAGAAGTTGCAATTGTTGAAGAACACAGGAGCCTGCTTGATACAGAGATCCTTCCCTGGGCTGCCAAGAGATGCCCACAACTTTAGACAAAAGCCCACCCCAAATGGCTACCCCACTGCCCGCTTCCATCACCGCGCTTCCTTGGCTTTAGCTTACGCACAGCGTTTCTGCTCATCTGATCTCCTATGTAAACCACAACGTTTATCTCTGGGGCCCAGATCTCAAATTCTCTCTGCCACGACGTCAATGTTGACAAAGGGACCACTATCAGGAAAGGGCCGTACAGCTGATGTTGGTGGAAGAGGTAGGAGAGAAAGGAGATGGTCTGGATGGTCTTCCCCAAGCCCATCTCATCTGCCAGGATGACACTGTTGTTCCTAGAAAGACAGAGGAAAGGTGGCAGCTCCAGCCACACCAGCCCTTGGCTCCCCATTAACGTCAAGCCCACCCTGTGCCTAGGAAATGTTTGACGAACAGGCGTGCCACGGATGGAAAGACAACTCATATAACACAAGCCTGTGCCAATCAACTTTTCAGGAAAGGGGGAGGAAGTGAGGAAGGATCCGTTTCAGTAAGAAAAGCAGCCAGAATTCTGCTTGAAGCTTCAAGCTCCGTTCTCAGATAAGATGAAGGCCAACAGCCCAGTCCTATGGCCCACTGGATAGCATCGAGAAGGCCAAAGGATTTTTCCGATTCCCCAGTCATGCGGTTGGAAAAATAAGTGTTTCTGAGGAGTAGGTCCATGGGAACCTCTGAAACTGTTTTGTGCCCACTCAGATCAGGCTCATTATTGCCCGGGTTCAAATAATACGGTAACCCCCATTCAGGGGAGGCTGAGCATGGGCTGTGTTGAACTGTGGGTGGCTGTTGAAATGTGCTGTCTGAACCCAGGTGAGATAACAGTCCATGGTACATGGTCCACAGTGCACAACCCAGCAACAAACCAGAGATTCTCTTCCTGGATTGTTTGTGGTTTATTTATTTATTAATTTATTAAAAACTTTGCTACCCCCATTCCCCACTGGTGTCTCGGGCTTACACTAAAACGAGTAAGAAAAAACAAAATAGCACAGCATCCAATAATTGAAATAATAAAACCCCAGTTAAAATCAATTAAACATTAAAACAATGGGGAAATGAAAAGCTTTTAGCCTGATGCCAGAAAGAATATAACATTGGTGCCGGATGAACCTCTCTGGGGAGTGTATTCCACAATCGGGGTGCCACCACAGAGAAGGCCCTTTTCCAGGTAGCCACCCTCCTAATCTCCTTCAGGGAGGGCTCCCGGAGAAGGGGCTCTGCTGCAGATCTTAAGGGGCAGGAGGGCATGTCGGGAAAAGATGCTCCTTCAGGTATCCTGGTCCCAAGCCATTTAGGGCTTTATAGGTTAATACCAGCACCTTAAACTGAGCCCACACTTCAACTGGCAGCCATTGCAACCGGTAGAGGACCGGCATTATATGTGAATACCTGCCAGTCCCCGTTAACATCCTGGAGGTTAATAAACCACAGTGTGGCTTTTCCACGGCAAAGGAGCACGGAAACACGATGCTTTATTCCCGGGCTGGAGGGTCCCCATTCCATTCACAGCAGCGCTGGTGAAGCCCCTCTTTCACCTACTTGCACCATGAGTGAGCGAGCCAGTTGAGGCCTTCCAGCTGATAATCTCGGAGCTCCAAGTTCTCGCCACCAATATAGGAAGGCTGTTTCTTCAGGGCCACAAACCGCGGTCTTTGCTTCAGCACCTACGACAGAAAGTTCATAGACTCTCAAGCCGACCGAAGAAAGCCACAAGAGTTGAAAGGCTCAGTGCTCGGGGCCTTTTCATATACCACCCTGGAATTGGCAGTGAACCGAGAGTGCCCCAAGCCCCTCTTTTGTGATCATGGAGGTGCATCTCTGCTGAGATGGCACCTGCCAGAAACGAGGATAATGAAGGCGCCTTTTGGAGCACATGGAATAGCTGTCCTAGGTGAGCTGGCAAGCATCCAGTGGAGACCTGCCACAGCTTGAAGGGCCGGCTTTCTATAGTGAATGCTGACACTATCACTTTATTATTGAATTCATTCAATGTGTAATTTACATTTTGTTGTCAGTTATTAATTTAATTTTTGGCTGCTAATTTACAGATTGTATTTTCTCATGCTGTGAGTGCTATTATAATTTGATTGTGTGAGAGGTTTACAACCTATTAGTTGTACCGTTTTTATCTGTTTTATCCATTGTATTATATGCTGTTTGCAGCATCTGTAAGCTGCCCAGAGGATCTTTGGGTTATGGGGTGGCACAGAAATGGAATTCAGTCATCAATCAATCAATCAATAAAACAAGGAAGGTGATTTGCTGCACCTGTTCAAGGAATCGTCTTCCAGATTTGGATGGGTGGTCCACTGTGCATTTTAAAGAGGGGGGGAGCACCCTGTACACATGGGTTGCACTGAATGAGTTTTGCTGTAAGGAGGCACTGATGCACTTGGCCTGAGGTAGAGAAGGAAGCTGGGTTTGGAACTCAAATGCTACTCTAAATCAGGAGTTCCACAGAGTTATTTTCTACAAGAAAGACTCACAAGCAAGCTGCAATGGGTGTCTGTGCGTGTGTGGGGGGGGAGGGGTCTTCTTTGCAAAGCAAGGAGGGTCTTCAAGCTGAAAAGCAGGGGTGTGGAACCTCCGGTCTGGGGATTCCCTCTGTGGCCATGCTCCTTCGGCTGGCCCCTTTCCCTTTTCCCCAGCCACCAACCTGGGCTCGCTTCCCAGCTGTTGTACAGATGTTTCTCCATTCTAAAAAGCTGGATTGCCTTTGCCAAGAATTACTTACTGGCACCAAAAGGTTTCAGCTAAATGTATGGGTCCCGTCCTTTCTGTCCTCAGTTCCACCCCTTTACCCACCTTGCCCACCAACAAAACACAGCTCAAGAGCTTCTACGGAACGGGATGGAAAGGAAGTTTTCCCCAGGCTGAAAGCGGCACTTCTTTCTGCTACAGCAGAAAACAACTGCTAATCATCCACCGTACAATGATCAAAAAGCCCCAATCTTTTTTTCAATGCAGAGCCAATATTTAATTTGAAAAGTCCCTCTTATATCATATCATCTTATTCTATTTTAGCTTATTTTATTCTATCAATGTCCTGTGCCACTTTTATTCTCTCTCTCATTGGTCACTATAGTCTATTGTGATAGTCATTTGAATTCACTGATTTCATTGCTGCTTCCTATGCCGTGAGCCGCCCGGAGAGCCTATGGCTAAGGGGGCAGAGCACAAATCAAATAAATAAGCAACCAGACTTAAAGACAGCACGGGGGAACGGCCTACCTTGCAGTCCCGAGTAGGCATCGTTTTGGAGTTGTTCCTGCTGTTGAAGCTGTCGATGCAGTGCTGGAATTTCTTGCTTATCAGGGCTTCGTCCTCCCAGCTACAATCCGCGTACGGAAGCCCCATCCACTTACAAAGGTATTCCGGCTCGTTGGAGGGAGTTTTGCGGTTGTGAGCTACAGACAGTACGGGGAGACAAGGGAGCAGTGTAGCAGGGGCTTCTGCTTTGGTGGGAGATGAATTCCTCGGAACTCCGGAGTCCAGCCTCCACCTCTGGTTTCTCCCATTGCAATATCTTGGGGGCAGAGCTGGGAAGGTCAAGCCGAAAGCCCAGGGGGCTCCTGGGCAAGCCGCAAATGGCCCAAGCCCCTCCCTTGCCTGTTCACCCAAAGCAGCCCAGAAGCCCCTGCAGGTGAGTAACCCGGCTGGGCAAGACCAGCAGACCGACGGCGCTTCGTAGCCTCCTAGCAGGCTAGGACATCCGTTCTCAGGCCAGCGGCTTTTGTGGGTTTCTTTACCAGGCCACCGGTTACGTTTCCCTTACTATAGGGCAATTGGGCCATTCTTTCACCTATAGGAAAGAACCTTGCATGGTAAAGAACCATCCCTGCATGGCTGCAACGCAGCAGTTGATGGACGACGACCTGGGCAAGCTTTGAAACGAGGGCTCTGTGGGCTTTTACCAGACCTGTTCTTCTGTACGCAAGTCAAGTCAAAATGTTAAGAAGCCAGCTTACCTAGAAATTCAGACCCCGGTGTGGCCGATTTGCTGGTCTTCATAGCTACAGATACCAAGGACAGAAGAGTATCCATTAATTTCATGACTGAGGGCCTTCGCCACAGACATGGAAGCATGAAATGTGTTTGCAGCTCGCACTGTGTGCTTAAAAGAGAAAGCGCTTCAGTGCAAGCCTGCTATGGGCTTTGGAGCCTTCTCGACACGATACTGCTGCATCACAGCCTTGCCCCTGGAGGCAGGCTCCTGTGATTCCTCGAAAAGTGATAGAACCAAGTTGAACCTTCAAGAGATCAAAGAAGTAATTGTTTGTATGTGTTCATTGAACTGGCTGGGTCAGGTCCAGGCACATGGTTTGCCTTTTTGAATAAGTAAAATCAAGGAATCACAGAAATAGGTTTTTAGGAACCGTGCCTTTGACATATGCTATGCTTACTTCAACTAACTCCCTTCTGAGCATCTCAGCAACCACTGCGAATGTAGCACTTCGCTCCATGGGACACATTTAATCTGGTCAAATAATTGCTTTGGATATGGCCCTTAACATCTGGTGCTCTATAGCCTGAAGTGCCAGATCCTGCCTAATCTCAGAAGCTAAGCAGGGCCTGGCCTGGTTAGAGTCTGGATGGGAGACTTGAGTCCTGCATTAAACAGGGGGCTGGACCCGGTGACCTGCTAGGCCCCTTCCAGCTCTATGATTCCATTACTCTAATTAGCTGGTTCTCAATCTTCTCTCTACGCCCGCCAGGTTATGATGTACCTATGTCCTGTTTTATGTTGTAGCATGTTGCAATTCTGCTTTCAACTGAGCCAACTGCACAAATTCTGTACGAATTTTGCAGCACAAATAAACAAGCTTGGAGCAAACACCAGCGGCATGAAGTGCTGCTATTCCAGGTTCCAGCCAGCCATGTCCTTTCATAAGGTGCTCCATGCCAGGCCTCCACTGCTCCTCTTTGCCCCGCAAGACAAAGTCAGCATTGTGTCCCCACTGCGTCTGATCAGTCTTCTTTGAGCAGGTCGTGGCGAGTTCCATTTCAGTCCTTTCTCTCTCCTTTTGTATTCTGCAAACCTTCCTGACACTTGCCCTGTGTTTTATGCAGGAATGGGGAATTTTGGGCTGTAATTAACCAGTTACGGCGGCAACTATGCACATGATTAGGCAGGGAAAAGTCCCCTAAATGGGAGCCGTAGGACTTTCTCGGTCTAGATAAGGATACACTCGTGCTCTAAACTGAGATGTGCTGTGCAAAGAATTCCGAGATGTTCAAATAGGTGACAGCGACCTTCCCTAATAGGATGCCTGAGAGATGTGCTGGATTACAACACCCACCAGTCCCAGCCAGCACAGGAATGATGAGATTTGTAGCCCAAAACCATTGCAAGGTACAGACTGCAGAAGGCTGGGGTACGATATCAATTCAACAAACCAAAGCCATCCTTATAGTTCAAAGGAACACTAGCAGTAAAGTTTTATTTTTCATTCCCTTATGTACTTTTTCCATTAAAATATTTCTCTGCCAGCCTTGCGCCATCTTCTAAAGCTCCGACAAGACCTCCTTCAGCATCAGAACCGAAGCAGCCTCTAAAGGACGGCAGGCTTCCCCATTGCTCAAGGCTTTCCCCACCAAATGACCCACTGAAGGTTTCACCGATTGATCTCACCCACTCCCACCACCCACGGCACGTGGGGCAAAAAGAAGCCATCGCTCTCACCAATGACTCGTTCCACGATCTGGTACTGCTTGTTCAACTCGGAGGCCAGTTCCTGCTGGCAGTTGTAATACTCCACATCTTCGGGGGTCACCTTGGCCAGCCTGTACAGGAAGAGGCAGATCAGGGCCTTTGCAGAGAAGGGGCTGGCAGAAGCTGCCTTCACTTCAAAGGCCGCCTGGTGCAGAAAGGGCCCCCTGGGCTTGGCGCAATTCCAGGCCAGGTCGGGAGCCCCCCCCCCAGAGAGTCCGGCGGGGCGACGTACCACTGCTTGACCTCCTCCTCCTTCTTCTTGTAGTTCTCCAGCTTCTTCAGGCCTTTCACCTTCTGCTGCTGCAGGGAGTCCTCGCTCTCCCACGTGCTGTGGATGTACGACCAGCCCTTCCACTTGATCAGGAACTGGGCCTCGCCTTCCTCCTTCTCCGCATCGAAGTCGGCGCAGGGGTCGCCGCTGGCTTCTGTCGCGTACACAGTGGTGGATGCGCCGGTGGCTGCCGAGAGGGGAGAGACCAGACCTGACTGAGATGCATACCGGAGTGTTCCTGTGCGGAAGCATTTTGGGGTCTCTCCCCCTCCAACTATACATCCATGTTCTGTCCCTGCTGAGTGCGCAGAGCACTTTCCATTTATTTATTTATTAGATTTATACCCCACCTTTTATCCTTCGAAGGAACTCAAAGCAGCTTACATCCTCCTCCTCCTCCTGCGCAAAATCTCACCCCCACAACAACCCTGTGAGGTAGACTGGGCTGAGAGTCCGTGACTGGCCCAAGGTTACCCAGATGGCTGAGCGGGGACTTGAACCCGGCTCACCCAAGCCTCAGTCCCACGCTCTTAATCACTGCACCACACTGGCTCACTGTCTCGTTCCACTTTGCGGTTCCCCCCACTCCACTGCACCCGCACACCCAAGACTTTTTCTGGGAGGCATTTTCATGATGGCATGTCAGTGCCAAATGTGCCGGCGGACGGCTGTCAGGCTCTAGCACGAGACAGGATGCCCGGCCCTCGGCAGGTGCTGCGGGTGTGTGTGCGTGGCCGAGGTTGGCCTGATGCCGCCGGAACGTTCCGAGCTGGTCTGCGTTCCGCCCCTGCTGCAATGCAGAAACGTGCTCCAGGCAGGGCTGCCCCGAAAACTGTTCCCAAGCTGTGGCTGGCCCAGAACGGCGTGGCCGCAGCATTGACGGGCCAGCCGCAGGGAGCATGCGAGCCCCTGGCCCCGGCAGCACCGCTGGCCACCGTGCAGGTGCTGCTTCAGACTTACAACGCCCCGTGCGGCTCGCAACCGGGACGCCGAAGGACCGCACATCTCTGCCAGGTCCCCCCGACCATCAGGAGAGGCCCTTCCCTGCAGAGCGCTCACATTCGGTGGTGCTTGGCGGCAGCTCCCAGGCTGGGCAGCTCCCACCCCAGGGAGGCCGCGTCTCGCCCTCTCTGCCGCCTCCCGAAAGCAAGCAAAGGCCGCTGTGCTTCAGACAGCCTTTGGCCTGCAAGTGGCCGCTGCCAGGAGCCTCCCGAGGGCCTCCCAGAACGGCTGCCAGAAACTCCCCTCTCGCGCCGCGGTCCCATGTCACCCCACCGAGCGTCGCCGGGCCCCTCGTGCATCCCTGCCCTTGCCCTGCCCACCCCTTGCAGCGTTCCACCCCCCAAGGCGAGTGCCGCTGGGCCGGGCAAGCCTAGGCACCCGTACTCACCTCCTTTCTTGCCCACCCGCCAGTCGAGCACTTTCTCGATGGTCTCGCTGTTGTCCTGCTGCTCCTCCGTGCCTTCCCCGGTCATCTCGATCAGGTCGTCCGAGTCCGTCTCAAAGTCGTCGTCTTCCTTGTAACTGCGGCGGGGGCAAAAGGAGGCCGCGTGAGGTTCTCCGCCCCACCGTGCATTTCCAGGAGACAGAGCCGAGGGCAGGCAGGCACCGTCCCTCTGACCGTGTGCCCATCAGCTCTGGCTAGCAGGCCATGGTGCAGGACGATGGGAGCTACAATCCAGGAACAAGGGCCACGCCTCCCCCAGCCCTGAACTGGACGATCATGTCCTGCAAAGCACCGGGAGGCATCAGCGCTCCAGCCACCTGGCCACGCTTTGGCACAGGCATCCTGCCAGCACCGTCCGTCCGCGCGTGTGTGTGTGTGTGCGCGTGCAGCGGGGAGGTGGCTCAGAAACAGGCAGTGCAGGTTAAAGGCATCGCCCTTTCAGAAGGGGCGCTGCCGCGGCCCCGGAGAAGCCCTGTCAGGACACGCACACGCAGGAGAGTGAGACGGATCTCACGCGGACTGGATGCAGGAGAGGCGGCCCAGCCCGTGAGAAAGTAAAGCCAAATGCTGGGGCAGTTTGAAGGGGCTGCCTGCAACAGGATCTCCAAAGGCGGCAGACAGATCCTTCCCCGCCCCCGGAAAAAACCCACAAAGCTAGCCAAAGCCTGTTCTGGTCACATTGAGGGTGGGGGTGAGGCATCTTGGTATCCCCTGGAATACCTCCAAGAGGACCATTTGGACAAAGCGGGCCCCTGCCCACAACCCACTTGCCCGTGTCAGGCAAGTGGCCGCTGGATGGCTTTCTGCACCACACAAAACCGTCCAGAGAGCTTTGCTTAAGGCAACCCCGCGTGGAAACCTCGGGGCACGAACGGCCGCACCGCAGCTGCTCCCAAGGAACTGCGAAGAAGAGCAGAGCTGCCTCCAAGCGTGCCAGATCCATCACGATCTTTACCAGAACCCCGAGATCTAGTCCCCCAGAGCTGTTTGCAAAAGACGTTGCCTTTGAATTACTGAATTCTGGGCCCAGGAATTCATTCTGAGCACCGGAACGCCTTCTCCTCGGAGTCCCACTGCGGGACTTCCACTCCTGGTTGGCCGAGGCCTTCTCCAGACAAGCAGCATCATTTCTGCATTTGCGCACGAGGAGCGGGGTGGGAGCATTTGGTTGCTGCCGCCGTGAAGCCACTGGGAGCCAGAAATGGATCCAGGCTGGGCCACCACACACCCTCCAGAGAAATACCCGCAGAGCCAGACGGACCACTTTCCCACCCTTGCTGAGAGGAGCAAAGACGGTGGCTGGATTTGGGTTTGGCACCAAACACTCAACCTGGACACATGGGCTCACGCCCCACCCCATTACCTGACGTTTTTAGCTGCTCGGCGCCGGGTCTGTCTTTTAGGCGCCTCATCGTCTTCTTCATCCTCCTCATCCTCCGACGATTCCGTCTTCCGTCGCCTCTTGCCACGCTGGGGCTTGTGCACTTTCTTTGCAATGGTTTTGCCCACTGCTCTAAAATGAGCAACAGACAGGAAGATATAATGCAGTTTGTAGGATGCGAAACACGGGGCAGGGGTCCACATGCCTTTGGGGCCAGCCGCATAAACTGTGAATGCGTTCACGAAACAGATGGCCCAGGCCGACACACGGCGGGCCACAAAACTCTCCTTTCCCGGAAGGAAGCATGGAGCGGCTGCAAGGGACGTTAATTGTCCAGGAGGAAGCTGAGGGTCTGATTTCCAAAATATGAAGCCACTCCTTTCAACCTAAATAAGAACGGGGCTTGGGGAACACCCAGGCTTTTTTAAAGAAGCAATTAAAAGTATTTTAAAAGTCAGAATAGGTAAGGAACATGACGGACACCAGAGATCTCTACAGGTATACTGGGCCCCACAGAAACCAGGATGGACCCCCAGGGGAGGGTCTGTGGGGAGGAAACGGGGGGCCAAGCACAGCTATCAGGACCCTCCACAAAGCCAAGCCGCAAAATCAACCACGCGCCCCCTTGGGAGGGTCCTCGCGTTGGAGGTCCTGGCCCCCCTCGGGCTTCTCGACAGCGAAGTGGCTGCAGAAACGCAGCGGGCGGCATTTTCCCCCTTGCTTTATGTCAGGCTGGGAAAATGCCCTCTTGCTGAACATCCGTACGCCAAGCGAGCCAAAAAGGGGCAGGAGCCGCGGGGGTGGCAACCCCGAGGAGGACCCCTCCCAGTCCCTCTCACCTCCTGAGCACCGGTCTCCTGGCCTTCACTTTCTTCTGCTCCGCCTCGCTTTCCGCACTGGTGCCTTGCTCCTGCCCATCCTCATCCTCGTCATCATCCCCGGAGCACTCCCTCTTCCACTTGTCTCTAGTTTTGCAAGCAGAACGGCCCGAGGCCATTATTATCCCTATTGTCACCAGCGTTACTGGTCTTTAACTGGCGGCTCAGGGTCTGACCAGGAGAGGAGAAGAGGCAGGCAGGAGTGCATCCGTGGGGCTCCTCCTTTGCTTCAGGGGTCTCCTCCTTCCCCTCCCCACTGAAAAAGGGGGCGGCAGAACCAAGAGGCAAAGGCATTCCTCCTGCTTTAACTGGTGTGCCGAAACGGGGGCTACAAGAAGAACGAGCAAAGCTGGGTCAGCCAAAATGCCCTGCATCGCGCCGACCTGCACTGACAGGCGTCCCGTGGCCTCCCAGCCACCTTGGCAGCGTGCGGAGGACCCTGCAGGGAGAGGACAGGCCTGCAAACGTCAAAAGGGGCAGCCGGCAAGTCTGCAGGCCGGGAGGCAGCCCAGCAAGACGGGCGTGTGAAACGCCCGGCCACCGGGGGCGATTCCGCTCCCCAGAGCGCACCGAACGGTGCCAAACGCGCCGCGACAGACCCTGCAGCCCGGCACGGAAAGGTAACGCAGATGACACGCCTTGTTCAGAAGCAGAACCGTGCTCCTCAGAGGTCCAGGAGGGCAGTTTTGCTTCCACACAAAGCGCACGCAATTGGAAGATGTGGGGTAGTTTGCAAAAAGGGTGAGGGGCGCACAGGTTGCTCACCCCGTTCGACAATGTTGGGTCATTGCTCCAGGTAAGCAAAGAACCCATACATGGGCCTGTTCAGAGGACAGAAAAGCGGGGGGCAATGAACCTCAGAAGTATCCCACACAGGTGAGAATTCTTCCCAAAAACAGAGCCCACGTTTTCTTCGGAAACAAGGCACATTTCTCCAAACTTACGCTTTTTTCACTTGCTTCTGGCTTCTTCTTTTGGGGCTTTCGCTCTCAGACTCGCTATTTCCCTTAAACGAAAGGAGAGAGGAAGGAGAACAGCCAATGAGGGTGGGTGGGGCAGGCGTTTCCCGCTCTCCACGCCCAGCCAGTGCAAGGAAATCAGACGCACAATCGCTCACACCCACATGGCAACACTGCGCCACACGGACAAGACGCTGGGGTGCGCTCGGCGTGACTAGGCACACGCTGCCTGCCAAAGCGATGCCTCTGGTGCCGGCAAAACCGGCAGTTTCTTTTGGAAAAGCCCAGCTGCACCAAAGATGTACAAACGGTGGAGTGACAAGTGCCCAACAAGAAACCAAAAGCAGAAACTAAAGAGAGGAAGAGTGGGATGCGTGGCTTCCTAGGAATATCGGGAGTGGCTTTACGCTGCAGGACGCTTGGCTCCATCCAGCCCAGTACTGCAGACGCGGACTGGCAGCAGTGGCTCTCCAGGGTTTCAGACAGAGCTTTCGCCTCTGCCTGGAGAAGCAGAGGCTTCAAGTTTGAGCCTACAGACCATGGGGTCCTTCAGGCTCACAAGCTAATCTCATTGCTGTAAACCCTCGTGAGATTACTAGAAAAAATGACAGGATAGAAAAGGTTTAAATAAAACCACTAAATAAATAATCCAGCAAGAAGATGCCCAGCAGAGTCTCTGTAGGGCAATTAGAGAGAAACTGGGTGGTTCAGTTCACGCGAGGATCCTCCTCCTCTATGGGGTGGGGTCTTACACCACAGAGGGCGCACACACGTCTGGCCGGCTTGCTCCACCACGCTCCAATGCCCGGCGTTGCGCAGTGGCCCCAACAAAGACGCTGATTTGTGAGGCACCCAGCACAGCAATGTTGAAAACAGTTGCGATGCCAAGATTCAGCACCGTGGATTCTCGAGGCGGCATCACGGCAGACGGCTCCATGTCCAGAACATAATGACGGGACTGCCGCAGGGAAGCGTGGCAAGAGGGTGGCAAGGGCAAGACCTTTCAGCACGCTCCGGACACTCGGGGACAAACAGGGCCCAAGCGGGGCAAAAGTGGGCCTTGCCTGGGGAAAGGGTGGGAGGGAGCGAATCGTCTGCCTGGGAGCGAGGGGCTGGGAAGGGCTGGAAACAGGCTGCACAGCCAGCCCCCGCCCTGCCCGCGGCCCAGAAGCGCAAGCTTCGCAGCTCCTTGGCAAAGGGGCGTCACGCAGCAGTCAGGCAGAAGTGGAGCTGCTCCAGCAGAGAGCAACTCACCTGCAGATTCATGCCCGTGCGGCTGCGATTCTGCTGTGGAAGGAAGGGGGCGCACCCACACCGCAGAGCGGGAGCTGCGTCCATCCGTGTGGCTCAAGGTGGGCAGGCGCCCTGTTTGCTGATTTCTTTAGGGGGAAGGATGATGCTGGGAGAGATCGGTGTGGGAGAGAGGGTGGGCAGCACAAAAAGCCAGCTGGAACGGGGTTCTTGTTTAAGCCCCGCACCTGCCCAAAAGGAAGCTTAGCAGGGAGAGCAGAAGCGACTGCGAGGCCCAACAGCCTGGGATGAGAAGAAGAAGCTAAGCTGGGTGCTCAATCCAAGAGGGTCAGAGACAGCAAAGGCAGGAAAAGAAGCGCTGTCGAGAATTTGACTTGTACGTGGCAGGAATTTGACGCGTGAGTGTTTGAGGTGTCTGTGGTCTCTGTATTTCCAGATAAGGAAAGGAGCTTAACGCAGGGCGCCGTTCCTCTGATGGCCTTCAGTTCATGCACATACGGGTTGCCTGCAGCATGTGAAGAGCAATGGCCTGCACCCCTTTTTAAACACTCCCCAATTCCAACTCTAAGGAACTCCCCTGCTCCCCCGCCCCTGCAGATCCTTCCACATGCACACTGAGGCTCGGTCTGTTCCTAGGTCCCCACAACCCCCAACCCGGCTGTTCCCTCTACCAACTTCCATTCACTGCAAAGCCTCCAGGCCGTGCTGGGGGACACGCCACTTCTCCACCAGATTCCGCTGCAGACAAGAGCTTCCTTGCACAAGCTGATCACCGGCCCCGGTTTGCTTGGTTCCCGGCCCCCGAAAGCTCTGCGACCAGGCCGAACCCGGCAGGCGCTGCACCCCGAGCCCTGGAGGTGGCAGGCAGGAGAGAGAGCTGGCAGCGTTCGGGGCGGATGCCTGCCGCACTTCTCGTGAGCCCACGAGCTCTTCAGGAGCCAGGTAGCCTGGACAGACCGTCGTCGGGCCTTGCTTATCCACAGACTCACACCAGCCCCGGGGAACAACCAGGGCTCCGGCTGTAAGGACACTGGCCCCCCAGGCTCTTGGGCAAGCCTCTTTCACTGAAGACCAGGGCTTCTTCTTCCAGGACATTCTTCCGGCCCTTTCAGGCCTTGCAGGCAATTTGGCCGGCAACTCCCCCTGGCAGCCAGAACTGACGTGAGCTGCGAACCACAGGCTTGCAGGCGTGCCCGCTGCACACCTCCAGCACCGACGCAACTGCCCGTTCTCCCTTCCTCGGCTAGTCAGAACACCTTGTTCGTGAATCATCAAGGAGGGCGTCTCTCTGAGGTGCCAAGCAGAGAAGGCAGAGCGCGAGAGGAAAAGAGCCGAGGGAGGGGCAATTTTGACCGGAAGCACGGCCTCCAACAAACCGGAGGCTGCGTTGAGGGGGGGCTCTCGCGTCATGCGTCCCTCAGCATCTTCCCTGCAGTGGCCCAGCCAAGAAACAGGTTCTCAGCCTCCACAACGGGGGGAAAGCTCACCTGGACCCACTCTTCCATGGGGCCGCAGAAATGTGCTGGTTAAAGGAGGTGCCGGTGCTAATTCAGCAGCCAGCTTCACCCTCGCACAGAGGCTGATCAGCCACGGAGACTCATCAAGCGACCCAGGCTGGCCGGGCACATTCTGCTCCATCTCCCAATTACCCACGCCGGGGCCACTGTCCCTGTGCAACCCACCCAGCGACCTGGCAAAGAGCACTGGTCCCAGGGGGCTGTGAAGCACCCGGCCACGTGGGTGCTCGGGCTTCCCGCGAAGCCGTGGCTGGCCGGGGGAATCGGTGGATGCGGACTGCCGGCACAAGGACTGCTGGCGAGCGTCCCTGTGTTGTGCGAACCCTCCTAGGCCACGGGATCCACTGGCAGAAATCCCAGCGAGGCAGGCCTCCTCTCCTCCAGCCAGGCTTGTACAGCGTTAAGCGGCAGACGCTTTTCTTCCCAACCCAGACCGCTCCGGATGAGCTAGACTACAATTCCCAGGAGCCCTCAGCCGCTGTCCGGCACATCCGAGCGGGATTGGGTTGGGCCAGGCCTTACAGAAGGCGCCTTCCTCTGCGTTGAGGCGGTGGGCTTGCTGACAGCTCTTTTTTGCCTCCTGAAGGGAAACCAGCGTTCTTTTTTGGCTTTTACAATATTGTGTGGCATAGCCAAGTTTGCTGACGAAGGATCTTTTTCAAAGAAGAAAGCAGGGCTGGTCGCGTAACCCACAGAGGTATCGGGGAGCAAACAGCCCATCCTACGTGAGACCACATAATATTGTAAAACAAAAAAGGAAGGGACTTACCTGAGCCCCTAACAGGTACTCTCGGGTCTGCAGCGGAGCCCTGGGGTGGGGGTGTGCTTGGCCAGCGAGCCTGGCAGTGGTGGAACTTGGAAAAAGGGAAACAAAAGCGGAGGTCAATGACGGCTGCCCTTTCCGCCCGACCCTTCCAACCTGCTTGGGCGGGAAGAATCTGTCACCGGCACACCTAGACAGAGCCCGAGTGGGCGTTCCAGCAGGAAAGACCAGGCCACCCCACCCACGACCGTGCCGAGGAAGACCAGGAGACGGAGGGGGCCGTGGGGACAGTGCCACCCAAGATCCCGGAACAGGTTTGGGGAAATGGAACAGGCTGGCTACAGGGTACTGTGGTCAGTGGTGGGCTTCCAGGCACAATCGCGAGGGACGCAAGATGGAGGACTGTGCCTGCAAACATGCCACAAACCACAAGCCTGCTTTTAATTCTGCCTCTGCCACCCGCTCACCTCAGGGTGCAATCCTGAGCAGTTTTAGGCAGAAAGCAGGCCTCTTTCCTGTCTGAACACGCACAGGTTCATGGACTAAGCCGCCGCAGTCACGCTTCTCATGCCCCCTTCCTCGGTTCACTCACCTCCGGTAAGAACCCTGGCTTACTTTACAGGGTTGTTGTAAGGACTGACTCGCTAATGCCCGTAAAGCTCTTTTCACACTGCAGAGCAACGCTATTACTGCTAAGGATGACGAAGCTGCCGTGAATAATAGCAGCGATAAGCCCACAATCGACAGCCGCCCTGTGGATGAAGCGCGCTCCATACGGACACTGCCGTCTCCTTGCAGAGAGGAGCAGGTGAGGCGGTGGGCTCGGATCCAAGGGGTGACAGAGCGGCGCAGCTGGACGAAAAGCGGCGGCCTCGCCATGTGTCCCTGTGTGTCGCCGTGTGGGGGAGCTGAGCTCCACCGACACTTTGGCACGATGAACGTAGGACCAGAAACTGTGGAGACGGCTCCGAGTGCTTTGGTGGACAGAGAAAATGCAAAGGTCGGCCCAAAGAGAGAGAAAAGACCTCCAAGAGAGGGAAACAGACGCGCTTTCCAAGGTCAGCCACATGGCACGGTGCAGCAAATCAGATCTCGCTGAAGGAGACCTCGAGATGGATGCGAAGAGCCGAGGGTCCTAGTACTAAATGCTGAGGCAAACCATTCCAACACGGGTGCCTGGTACTAGGCACCTAAATCCATATATAGGCACCCAAGCATAAATGGACCCATTTTTAGTGAACTCCCCAACGGGAGCGCCGGGTGCCGCTTATATTTTCAGGTGCTTGAATATAAATTTAGGTGCCTACCTTTGGAATTCCAACTTGGACATTTTCAGTCTGATTCTGAACTTTCCTGAGCCTCATTTTCTCCATCTGTAAAAAACAGAAGGGGAAACCGCTGCTTACCCTCCTTCCTTCGAAATCAGTCGTGTTGTGAGTCGGGTGGGGGGGAGATATGCACCAAATAGATACGAAGAAGCGTCAGCCACCCACAAAAACAGCAAAGAAAAGTGGCGAGTCCCAAGACCACACTGTGCTCGATACAACATGATGGGGGGGGAGGGAGGGGGGAGGGGGGAGATGCTGCGGCCGACAGATGAAAAAGCCCTAGTCCGTTTCATGCACTGAACTCAGGCGAGGGCTACCCTACAGACACAAAGGGGGAGGAAGGGCTCGAGAAAACAAAACCGTGCACACACTCACACTGGAAACATGCACGAGAACCCTTCCCCATGCGTCCCCAGCAGGCTGCTCCTGCAACAGAGTCCCTGCTTCCCTGCATTTCTTTTGCGTCGCTCCGAACCTCAGTTAGGCTTGCACGATTCTGCCTCGCAGGCGGCCCCTCAGCGCTCAACCGGCCGTGGGAAGCCCACGGATGAGTCAGATTGCAGGAACGGTGCTTCACCATTGCAAAACGCGGCCACCACGTTTTCACCGACACCTCGACGTTTGCAACGCAACACTGGCCAGAGCAGCTGGGCTCTTTCCACCCTGGCCAAGAGCTCGTTGCCGCTCGTTTCTCCTCCCCGCCCGCCTTACCTCTTCGTTGATATTAAAGCGCGAAGGCTCCTGCCGACTTCGGTTCGACCGCCTCACCCCATACACGTCGGGGTACTCTTCCCACATCTGCAAAGCAAACCAGAATCATGGGGTGCAAGCCATCCTTCGGTCAGGGGACTTCTAAGAAACTTTGCCACAAGAATTTGGCGAGGAGGGGTAGGGCGGAGAAAGCCTGACTGGCCCAAGACCCTCCAGTAAGTTTTGGGGCTAAGCAGGCCTTGAACCCGGATCCACTGGACCAGGTCCACCACACTGCCCTCCAGAGTGCATTAGAGATTCCAGCCAAGAAGGATCCCTCCCCGTTCAATGAATGCAAGAAGCCCCCCTCTCCACACATGCACTTGCCCCGGTGCATGGAAAGAACTTTTCCCGAGTTAGCTTGAAGGAAGCACTGGACATGCAAATAGAAGTCTATGGACCTCGAAGCCACTGGCCAAACACAGAAAGCAGCATTCAGTGCTCAGAAGAACATGAGGCCCGAACGACCAAAAGTGTACCCAACCAGTGCCAGGCGACTGGATCTGTTTTGCATCTCCAGCACCGGGAAGTAGACTGCATCCACCTATGGAGGCTCGGTTGAAGAAGGAGACCAGGCCGCCATGATTTGGTCCAATCGCCTTTTCAATCCCCAAGCAGTGCCCACCCACCAGCGCGCTGCATTGCAGTGAACGTCAGAAACGGATGACAACCCTCGTCTACGAGCCCCTTTATAAGGGATGCCACGGATCCACACAAGCAGAAATAGCTATGAATAGCAAGCGTTCACGCTTTTTATGCCAGAGGTAATAAATGCTCATGGCAGCCTTTCCTAGCCTGGTACCCTCCGAAGGTTTTAGGCCGGGGCTCCCTCCAACCCCAGCCATTACTGCTCACAGCCAGAAATGCTGGGATTAGTAATCCAAAACATCCGTAGGACACTGAGTTGGGGAAAGTGGGCTTAGTCGCTCTGCCTCGCACTGCTCCCCTCGTGCCTCAGAGCATCAAGGTGTTTCTCTTGGACGTTGCGCCTGGGCAGCTTGGACAGCCCTTTGCCCTATTTCCTTTTGATCATTTCGGAAGCTCTTTTCCCCATCCATCCCTGCAGTTGCTCAAACTCCTGTATCAGAGACGCTCGGGCCCCGCAAGACACACTACCTCTGGTGGAAGGAACCCAGAAGATCCATGCGGAGCTGGCCACCCAGACCCAAAGACCAAAGAGCAGGAGGCCTTTCCATGGCTGTGTGGCCAGGCCACCCCGCCACCTCACCCCAAGACCAGGCCATGGATACTGTTGAGCCACGTGTACAAGGAGTCTGGGAGTGCCGTACTTTTTTGACATCCGCTATCCTTTCTTTCTTGGAAGCCGGCTTCTCTTTGGCTTCCCGGGGTGTCTGCTGAGATTTGGAACCCGTTGACCCACTTTCCGAATCCGACTGGCTCTCCGAAGACTCCGAGCTGCTGTTGGATTCGCTTGCATGGTCGCTGCCCTGCTCACTGTCCGACTGGCTGGCAGAGTCGGACCCCGAGGCTTCTTCAGAGGCCGAGTGACTAGAGGCAAAAAGAGAGCGCATTTCAGCATCACTTCAGGCACACTGACGCTCCCGCATCCTCAAACACTTGTGCAGTCGCCTGGTGCAAAGGTTTACACAAATCTGCAAGACTCTGTCTCCACACAGAGGCATCGAAATGCTTCTCGAGAAGCGCTCGGGGGCCGCTGAAGCAAAAGGACAGAGTCAAAAGGCTCGAAACTGCTGCCACTGTGCCCTGAAAGCTCTTGGCACCCGTAACAAAACGTTCATGAATGTGGGGGAAATGACGGAAATCCCCAGTGGTCAGCAGTGGAGGGGAAGCAGCCAGGTGGGAGGAGAGCATTGCAAGAAAGGCTGTCTCTGTGCTGAAGAAAGGCAGAAAAAGGGTCACGGGGGTGACCCAAGTGGGCCTCTGGACGATGGGGGTGGAGGTGTGCTCCAGACGTATAGGGTGCCACCCGGGGAAGTCCAGGGGGCTGATCTGGCCACCGGGCCTGGGCTTCTTCAGACTGGTCCGTGGCCAGGATCCGAAATAGGCAGCCTTCAGCATGCAAGACCCTCTGCCTGTGAGCTGAGCTGGCTCGCTCCCCAGTTCAGGCAGGAAAACAATAGCAAACCAGTGGGAACCCAGTGCCCTTTACTGGCAGTCCCAGTTATTTTCATTACACAAATGTACTCTCTCCCTTTCCAAGGGCCCCAAGTTTGCAAAGTTTTCCTCTGCCCCATGTTATCCTCACAACAACAACCCTGTGAGGTGGGCTAAGAATCCGTGGACTGGCATGGAGTCACATGAGGAGCTTTGCAGTTGAGCAGAGACTGAAACCAGGGTCCCTCGTGTCCCAATCCAGCGTTTTAGCCACAATGCCATGCTGACTCTCTCTGGTACCGCATTTGGAGACGGCGTTTTATGCACTAAACAGAACCTTCCCCAGAATGATCAAGAACAACACAGACACACTTAACACCATGAACAGAAGTGCGGAGGGGGGAGCACTCAGGGAGGGGCAAGAATAAGGGACTTTGTGCCCCCCCACCCATTAATACTACATATATGCAACACAGGTGTTAAGTGAAGAAGCAATTTGCACATGCTCTGAGGCAAGGATCCTCAAACTACAGCCCGCAGGCCAGATATGGCCCACCAAGGTCATTTACTCAGCCCGCCTCAGAGCTTTCGGACTCATTCGGAGAAAACAATCTCCGAACGAGTCCGAAAGCTCTGAGCTGGCGCAGGCACTCTCTGAAACTCTTTCAGTTTTGGAGACTAGCAGAGAGCCGGCGCACACGCCAAATTGTGACAGCTCCATTCAACTGCGCGTGTGCTGGCTCTTCCCCCATCGCACGCATGCACTGGCTCTGAATACAGAGAGGGAATATGGAGTGGGAATACAGAAGAGAGGAGGGCAGAAGAGAAAGGGAGAGAGACGAAGACACTAAAGAAAAGATAGAAGGTAAGAAAAGTATAACTTTTAAAATATATTTTAACTATATAATACTTTTATTAATGAATGTTTCTGTGTCAGATTTATTTTATTTTCTAAATGCAGTGGTTCCTCAGTTCACGGACTTAATTCATTCCACAATTCTGGTCATGAACCGAATTGGTCGCAAACCGAATCAAATTTCCCCATAATGTTCCATATAATAAGGTTAATCCGGTTTTTTTTTAAACTACAAAAGTGCAAGCCACGTCCCCAGGCTGCGGGCCGAGCCACGGCCGCCTCGCCAGGCGGGGTAGACAGGCTGAGGCGGAGCAGGCCGCGGCTCCTGCGCCTCCGCCATGGCCTTCTGTGGGCAAGCGGCCGCCACGTGGCGGGGAGAGGCGGGGGGCGCCCCGCTCGGCCCCGTCCCTCCCCTCGCCGCCCTGGCCCCGGCCTCGGAAAGCAGCCCGCCCCTCCGGCCTCCCGCTCCTGGAGCCGGGAGCGCCTGCGAGGGACCATCCTTCCTCGAAGGCCCCAACCTCACGGCTCCCCCCGTGTCACGCTCTCCCTTTCGGCAGCCGCACGGCGTCATCTTGGGCTTCTGCTGCAGCCCGAGCGAGCGGAGGAAACATGTTTTACTTTAAAAAAATATAACACAGGTTTAAAAAGAGAGAGAAACTCACTGAATATTCACTACGTCCTGCGACCCGACTCCATCTTTGCAGACTATATGCAGAGACATAATTTGCAGAGATACACCTGGGTTGCAGGACCGAGCGGACAGTCAGTGAGTTTCTCTTTTTTTTGAAGCTCCTTTATTTTTTAATTAAAAAAAATCATCATTTTTAGCAGATTCAGAAGTTGCTCCCCTCCATCTCTCCTCTTCATTTTTGCTCATGAAAAATAAATTGTAATGCAAATTTTGATGCAGGATGCCACACGCCATGTATTTCTATGGGTGTGCACTGATGTGAGTGCAGATTTATTAGTGTCATTTGGTTGCTATTGGAGACGGCGGTTAAAACAGGTGGTGTGGAGGCGACAGATCGCTTCATCGCCGCCTGTCCATCGCTTTCCAAAAAGCGATCCCCTGTGGATCACAGTACAACATATGTAAATGAGCTCTGTGCTCATGATGAGCTCATGATTGTTCTCTGCAGAAATGGTCCTCATCGTATCAGTTTTATACTCATTGTGTTGCTGCGGACTCGTTTCTGGGGTGTCACCTTCTCATTAGCCGAAAGCAGGCCCATACTTCCCATTGAAATACTAATAAGTTTATGTTGATTAAAATTGTCCATTTTAAATATTGTATTGTTTTCTCCTGGTTTTTTGCACTACAAATAAGATATGTGCAGTGTGCATAGGAATCCGTTCATATTTTTTTCAAACTATAGTCCGGGCCCCCCAGCAGTCTGAGGGACAGTGAACTGACCCCCTGTTGAAAAAGTTTGAGGACCCCAGCTCTGAGGTACGATGTATTACTCATGTCTGTGATCCTCAAAATATTTAGGTTTGGTTGGGAAAAGCCCCCGCACCTGAACCCCAGGAGAGCTGCTGACAGTGCAAATGTTAAGTGTGCGAGACACGCTAGAGATGTATTTGCTGCAACACATCCTCCTGGGGCCCACACATCTGGATCACGCTCCAGCATCATCGAGCTACAAAAGCCAAGCCAGGGCAGTCGGCTGGGCTCTCAGCGGCTTCCATCCACTCCTGTGGAGCAAAATTAACATGCGGCCACTTGGGATGCAAGGGGCCAAACCTACCTTTTGCTAAAAACCCCCCTTCCGACCCAGCACCTTCCAGGTGTGCTGCCTGCCACCCTCATCATTCCCGGGGAGCCAGGCCGCTCCTCACACCTGGGGGCGGGGGGGCACCAGGAAGGAGAAGTGTGGTGCAGACAATCCTGAGCCAAGGGTCTGGCTTAGCAGGATGCGGCAGTTTCCTATGTCCCATCCTAAAATCAAAGAATAAATGTTTCCCATCCATCCATCCAGGCCCAGTCACCTTTCTGTTAAAATCAGACCCCTTCCTCCACAAGCATTTTGCATAGATTTGCACAGATCGGTGCACTGCAGCAAAGAGGGGGTGGCAGTGGTAATGAGAAGAAAGGGACAGCCCAGGAGAGTTTCTGTCAAGACAAATGCATTAGTGGAAAACTGCCTGGAAAAAACGGATGCATTCAAAGCATGGTGCTGCAGGAGAATTTTGGGGATACCCTAAAGCATGGGTCCTCAAACTATGGCCCGTGGGCCGGATCCAGCCCGCCAAGCCCATTTATCTAGCCTGCCTCAGAGGTTTTGGACTCACTGTGCACGCACCCAGCGGAGGCTTGCTCATGCGGGGATTGTTTTGGACTCGCTCGGAGAAAAGGCGCCTCGCCATGCGCGCACCCAGAGGCAGCTTGCTCGCAAGGAGATCGTCTTGGACTCACTTGCGCACCCCCCAGCCTGGCCCGGCCTGCGCCCCCTGCCTGCAGCCCCTGCCTGCACCGCCTTGGCGGCCCACGCCCATCGCCGACACCTTTCAACTGGCCCCCTGTTGAAAAAGTCTGGGGACTCCTGCCCTAAACGGTCAGAAAGATGTACACGAGGGCCCTAGATCAATCCAAGACAGAGCTTTCCCTGGCAGCAAAAATGATGGTAATTTATTATGTTCTATTGTATTTCAATGTATTTTATTGTGTTGTAAGCCGCCCCGAGGTTTCGGCAAGGGGCGGCATAGAAATGTTATAATGATGATGATGATGATGATGATGATGATGATGATGATGATGATGAAACCAAGGCCAGACTTCCCCGGAGAAAACCGTTCCCTAGGGCAAGTTGAAGCCAGAAGACGCAAGGGAGGACCAGCCACGAGAGGGATCGATTCCATAAAGGAAGCCGCAGCCTTGAGCTGGCAAAAGCAGAGCAGCGCTGCCATGGACAGCTCATCCTGGGGAACATTTATGCGGAGGATAGCCATAAGCCAGGGACAGCTTGACAGCACATGACAAAGACAACAACAAAGATACCACAGGTCTTCCTTGCATGCACTACACAGACTCACACATCCGCACTCTTGCAATAACAAGACGATGATGATTTTTGTCTCCTATTTTCTTTCTCAGTGACTCTGAGAAAGCATTAATTCTGCAAATGTGGTACACAATATATATATATAAACAATGTTAAAGAATGTTAAGATTGTCCTGCTTCAGAAGCTCAGCTGTCCCATCTTAAAGTCCGTCAGACTTTTTCCTGACTCATCAGCATGTTTTTTTCCTGTTCCCATGGGACATTCTAGATTTCCACAAGGGCCCTTTTATTTTTATTTATTTTTTATTTTTTATTTTTTTGGAAAAAAGCTGTTTTCTTCAAGTTGACTAAGCTACAAACCTATGCATGCTTAGAGAAAAATAACTTCCACTGTTCAAAGCCTTCCCCAGCCCATGTGGGGTAAATATTCAACTTATTTCAGTCTAAAGCCGCCCCGAGGTTTCGGCAAGGGGCAGCATAGAAATGTTATAATAATAATAATAATAATAATAATAATAATAATAATAACAACAACAACAACAACAACATGCATAGGACTGTCTGTTAACTAAATT